TTGTCATTGGTGATCAGAGGCCAGGTGATGTGCAGCTGAACTCGGTAGAGAGGTGGACAGAAGAGCCCCCAAGCTCTGTATGTGACCCCTGCTTTAGAGTCTTCAGAATCTAGGAGCTCAGAGGGAGACCTGGAAACCATGTGCCTCTGTTCCAACATGCAGTTGTCTGAGTGACGTGGAACTTCCTTCTCTTTTTTATCACTAAACACATGAAAATGCTGAATTGAAAATTGTAGAATCTGGAATGCCCAAGAGTCCTCCTGTGGCCTGAGGTGCTCCCTGTGCCATGCCCTCTTCATGTGAGGCTATGGACTTAGATGGACAGGGCTGCAGGGGAGAGCTTCAGGGACAGATAGATACAGCTGTCCTCCCAGTGTTGTTCTGTCTTTTGGGGGCAGCCTGTGTGTAGGCCCATCCTTGTGTTTTAAACCAGGTAACTTGATACTTTCTTGGTCCTGGGGGCTAGAGCTCAGAATTAAGTTGTCTTCTGTTATTGACATGTAAAAATAAGTAAACAAATATAAATAAATAAACAAGGCTATATAACTATATAACAAGTATATATAACTATATAACTATATATAGCTATATAACTATATTTATAGTGGTACTTAATATCTATACACCTAAATGAGTCAAGCAGAATGAGGTATCTGTCAGTCCACATATTTGTCATTTTCTGTCCAGAGAGCATTGAACACGTACACTCTGATGCTTCAGATATACATCCTTACTAACTGTCCTCACCTATTATTGAATCAGCATTAAGCCCCAGTGCATGGCGATGGGAGTCGGAGTCCTCCCACCCAGTCACAGCCAGGTGTCCACGGTGACCGGTGAGGAAGCCCTCAGGTCATGGGGCTCCTGTGGCCTTGGACTTCCCGCTGGCCGTGGGATGACCATGCGTGTGAGCCTATGGCCTCGTCTTTCCAGCAGAGGAAGTTGAGAAGCGAGGCTCCTGGCCTGCCCAGCGCCGGGAGTGGGGCTGCTGTCTCCTTTGATATCCACTTCTGCAGGGATGATTCCCAGATGTGGAGAGAGACAGGCCAGGCCACCAGGCTGCAGAGGAGATACATGCATTTCAAAGAGAGGGAAATGCTTCTAATTACAGTTTTTTTCTGAAGTACATAAATGCGTCAAGGACAGGAAGCAGGGAAGCCTTTTCCCTTCCTTCTAGTGGGGAGAACTAAGCCTCTTATTTTTAATGTGCATTGCTCTTACACTCCTTTTATTTACTTCTATCTGAAATTAAAAAGCCCCTGAGCTTTGTAATCGTACAGTAGCCCTGTGAGGAACAGAAGAAGCCTTGAATGCTCTTGTTACTAAGTTGAAGCTCACTTAGTTTTACTGAGTGTAAACTTTAACACCACTGATCCTACATTAATACTTAGGGTTTCTTAAAAGGAGAGTAGCAGTGTCAGCAGTTCCTTGTATGCTTACACGACTAGTTGCCTTGTTCATAGCTAGTGGCCAGTGGGGTCCCTGCTCTACAGCCCAGAGCCGGGCGTAAGTGACGGGGAGACCCTAAGCAGGCAGCCCAGAGGATTTTCTCGAAAAAACAACAACAAAAAGGCCTTTGTTTTCTGAACTTAGGGTGCTTTTTGTTTCGATTTTGTTTTTGCAGCCCTGGGGTTTGGACCTCCAGGTGCCCTGCCCTGCCTGTGAGCTGCACCCCCAGTCCTGCTGAGTTTGGGTTTTGAGAATGGGGTGCCCAGGCTGGACTCAAACTTGTGCTCCGTGTGCCTCAGCCGCCCTCAGCTCATGGCTTACGAATGTGTACCACCAGACCTGGCTTGTTTTGTTTTTAAACTCTGCTAGAAGTTAAAACTTTACAATTTCCTCTGCTGGCCTTCAGTAAAGTCAGGAGATAAACACTGGTTATCGTTTTGGGGGTACTAGGTTATGGACTTCTGTGGAAGGAAGGAGGATCTCCCCAGTGGCTCCTCGACTTGTGTCTTGATCCTCGCGTTTCCAGCTGCCCTTACCTTTCGCTGTGCCCCTTTCCACACCTCTGTCCACCAGCGTCTGTGTGTCCTGTTGCTTGGGCCGAGCACATCACAGGCCTCACAGGCCTCACAGGCCTGCGGCTGGTCTCCTTCAGCTGCTTGTGATTCGCACCCTTGCTGCCTTCCTGGACCAGAGCCGGCTGAATTCTCAGCCTGGGGGGGGAGGGTGGGTCTCAGTCTCCTCCCTACTCTGAGGTCTCCCTGCTCCCTCCCCTGCTTGTTGACAGGCCCTGTGCCACCAGCAGTTGCACACTCTGCCTTCCCCAGACTGACGCCCGCTCTGTGCGGATTTCTGCCTCCTTTTTGAAGCTGGTCTTGACAGAGTGGACATTTTTTTCCCACTCTGGAGCTGGGAAAAGAAAGAGCTGCCGGGCGAGTGGTTCTGGGAAATGTACTCTTTCTCCTTGCCCTGTGCCTCTCCTGTTTCTGAGTGGGTTCCTTGGGGTTGCTCCTTAAGCCTGATTGCTTCTGCCAGCCTCTCAGATGGTACGTTCTCCCTCCTTTCTCCTCTACGTGGAGAGAACCTCAGTCCATCCGTCCCTGCCTAGCATGGTGAAGCTTCCACCAGTGGCATTGCTAGTTTTCCTGTTAGGAGTGTCTCCTCCTGGAAGTGAGAATTAAAAACTAATTACAAAAATGGCTAAACTTTGAAAGATTTGTGCAGTTTCTGCCTGTCCGCATCCATTGCAGTCAGAGCACCGTGTCACTGGGAAAGAGACCCAATTAGACTGCCACCTCCACTCTTTAAGCTGATCTCAGAGTTTCTTTAACCATAGCCATAGCAAAGATGCTCATTGCAAAATAAGCTAAGTGTCCCATGTCAACAGTTCCTTTAAGTGATATCAAGTGAATTAGAACTGAAGGAAACATCGGGAACATCAGGAAAGCCTTTGCTTTTTAAAGTATAGAAATTCTTGGCCCAGTGCCTGTAGTCCCAGAACTTGAAAGGCTGAAGTCGGAGGATCATTGCATTTTGCAGGCCAGCCTGGGCTGTGTAGTTAGTTCAAGGCCAGCGTGAACTGTACAGCAAGACCCTATCTCAAAAATCCAGAAATAAATAAGTTTAGAACTTCTTATTTTTGCATAGTCCTGTTCCTTCCTGTCTGATTTCTTGGCTGCAGGGTTCTGAGCCTCCTACCCTTCACCCTGTCCCTTGCTCTGGGCCTGGGAGCTGCAGACAGAGGGGACTGGAGCGGCACCTCATGGGAGCTCCTGTGTCCGGGGCAGCCTGGACAAGGGGCCATGGCACTGCCCATCACAGCGTGGCATGGGCTGAGCTCAGAGTGAGGGGACAGCTACAGTGCCTGGCGTTGTGGCTTCCACAGAGCCCAGGGGGTGGCTGTGATGACTAAATAATGGGCTGTTTATGTGGAACTTGTGTTTACTGGCAGATGCCCCGAACGATGCGAAGGGTGTGTGTGTGAGTGAAGAATGCCCTTGGTATTTATTTGGTGCTTGTTGTTGTATACCATGTGGTCATGATCACATCTTGGGAACATTTCTTGAATATCAAATCATGAGGAGAAGTTAGGCAGTTTTCTCCCTAGATTTTTCCAGGAGGCCATTTAAGAACGTCCTGTTTTGAGGGTCTGTCTGTACGTCTGTCCCTGGCCATGGGAGGCACGTGGCAAAAGGAAACACCTGAAGCCTTCAGGCTTCCCATCCAGTCTTAGCAGTGACAAGAGCTTAAATTCATGCAGTCCACCCTGGGCTGGTGGGGAGCTTGTCTGGCACCAGGTAGCAGCTGAGTGGAGCGGGTCAGCGGGTGGCAGGGGAGGGTGGTAGCATCGCCAGGGTGGCTAGAGGAAGCAGAGCCGGCCATGTCTTGGCCTTGGCAGGGAGACCATGTGCTTGGGGCTTTGTGCATGGTCAGCGTGCTCAGAAGGACAGGAAGGAAAGACTTGTAACCCACTGTCCCTACTCCCGGGCTCAGATGGTCTCTGTGTACATCCATCAGGAAGAGCCTGACAAGTCATTGATCCAATCTGTCAGAGAGGCAGCAGTGCCTGTTGGGTGGAAGCCCTCGATTGAGGAGGCTCTCACTCTGCAGGCGGGACCTTCGCTAGTGACATTTGCGTGGTGGGATAGAAGAACTCCAGGCACCAAAGCCCAGAGGAGCCCCAGTGGAGGCGGAGAGGGAAGCGGGTAGGGCTAAGGCTGGGGTAATGGTTAGTTCAGAAGCCTTTTGTCCTGCTCCGCATTGTCTCCCCATCACCTCCTGACAGCGGGGCCAGGCATGGTCCACGGGGCATGGCCGCAGTCACGTCATCATAAGCAGGCTGTTTTCTTGTGCCTCCTGTGTACTGCTGCCATCCAGCTCAACAGGACCCAGAGGTTAAGATTAAGATACTTGGCCAAGCAGTTCAGAAATCTTCCAATCCAGAGCAGAATCTTCACGAATTTATAGTATTAGCAGTAGAAGTAACCAGTTTGTAATACAAGATCAAGTTTTTAATCCTTTCGGAAATACGGACAATGAAGCATTTTTCTCTGTTGATCTTATTGAATTTAAGTATTAGGAAGTAAAAAACAAATGGACTTGTATCTGAGAATTCTTGTATGTTTAGAAACCAATAAACATTATTTTTTAATGTCATTGTGATTTATAAAATGGTACTATAGTGAAAAAACAATATAGCTATCATTTTACATATTATGTATTTTCTCTGTGTGCTAATTTCCTAGTGTGTGTCTGAGCCTGGGTTTGGTCCCCAGCACCCAAAAAAAAAAAGGAAAAATAAAATATGCTGAATTCAATACACTCTTACTAACTGTAGTGTTCATAATGTACATTAGGGCTTTAGACTTGTTCATTCTCTATGTTTTTCTCCTTGTTTCTCATGGTAATAGAAAGCAAAACGCAGCTATAGGACACACACATAGAAAGAGTGTTTGTTCCTTCATGTGTGCATTTGCCTCTTGGGCGTTGGATATACTTGAGTGAGGATATTAAAATTAGAAATCTCTTATTGTATTATTTTGTTTTATTTTTAGGTGCTGGTGAATCTGGGAAAAGTACAATTGTAAAGCAGATGAAGTAAGTAGATTTAAAAGATTCAATTTTTGAAAGTGTACCCTTCCATCAGGAGAAATTAAGTGTTCTGTGTTTTCCTCTCATCTTACTAGAATTATCCATGAGGCGGGGTATTCGGAAGAGGAATGCAAGCAGTACAAAGCAGTGGTCTACAGCAACACCATCCAGTCCATCATTGCTATTATCAGGGCCATGGGAAGATTGAAGATAGACTTCGGTGACTCTGCTCGGGCGGTGAGTTACGGAGTTTAGACAAATGAGTTGAGTGGCAGCACCGTGCTCTCTATCACAGGCTTGTTGATGTCATGGTCATTTCACATGTGGATGGAAGTGAGCAAGAGCTTTAGTAGTGAGTGGAAGAACAGTAGAGAGGTTGCAGCCTCCCCCTTTATAGCTACACTTACCTTCTTCATCAGGATATTTGGACAGTTCAGTGACTACTGCCGTAAGTCCCACATAACGTGTCACACTGGGCAGTTCTGCATCCCCGTGTTTGTCAGCTTTCTATTACTATTACAAAATACCTAAGGCGATCAACTTAAAAATAAGAAAGGTTTATTTTGGCTCATGGTTTTGGAGGTTTTAGTCCCTGTTGCCTTTGGCCTGTGGCGAGGAAGCACATCATGGTGGGAGCCTACGAAGGAGGAAGTGAAGAGAGAAGAGGGTGTGAGTGATAATCTCCCCAAGGACACCACCCCAATACCCAGACCTCCTGTTAGGCCTCCCTCTTGGAGCTGCCACCATGTCGCAGGTTGTGTCGTGGGCTGGGCAGTGACCCTTCAACACGTGAGGCTCTGGGGGATGTTGTGGCCTCCTCTCGAGTTTGTGTAGTTAGTTCCAAGCAAATTCTTATGAAATCTGTGTTTATAATCAGGAAAAATGAAATGATCTAATTATTTGTTTTCGTGGCCAGACTCAAAAGGAGACTAATCTTAAAGTAAGCAGTATAAAAGTTTGCTTTTCTTTGGAATAAGAAAATATTTGCTATTAAAAATAGCATGTATCAGAATTTCAGAGCTAAAGGAACCCTTGGAGATGAGTGAGCTCCACGCATTTGTTTTTCTAGTGGACAAATGGAGACCCGTGGAAATTCCCCATCGGGAAGAATACAGTGCAGGCGTGGGCCCTGGGCCCAGGCCCTGTGTCCTTGTTGGGCTTGGTGTCCAGTTTGCAGTCTGCTGGGAAGCCAATCTGGTCCAGTCCATGGGACGCTTTGTCTTCTTTCTGTCCCCAGCCTCTGTTTGACTGCTTTATCTGTTTATTTTGAGCTTGTCATTCGCGTATGGTTCATATATCACTGATTCTTTTAGAATAACGGATGAAAAATTTGACTTGACCTGAAACCTTCAATGAAATCCTATGATGATGTTTAATTTTTTCACAAAGTGGGTGCATTTGAATATTATTACCCCTTTGCACTTTTTATGTATTTAATGTGTTTTTGTATGCACACACTGTCTCTGTACCCTGCATTATGAAGATTTTCTATGTAGAGTCTGTAACGTTTTGTCTTAGAATCTGTTAGATTCTCTTTTAACAACTGGGAAACTCATCCTTAACTGACAAGAAAAATGAATGAAAGCAGCATTCGAGAATGCACATTGGAGAAATCTGTAAAATAAATGTTATTTGTGAGCTATTTTAAATTTTTCTTATAAATCATTAATTTACCTAGTTTATCCTTTTAAACAAAATTTGAAAGCTTAGTGTAATTAAAGTTTTCACTTAGATTTCAAGATCCTTTTTAAATGAGTTTTATTGTGTATATTTAAGGTTTACAACATGATATTATAGATAGAATCATTACTGTAATGAAACAGATTAACGCCTATCATTCTAGATAGTGTGTGTGAGAGAGAGGAGGAAAGCTACAATTTTTAAACAGAAATCCTAATGCAATGGCATTAACTGTAGTCCTGGTGTTGTCAAAAGATAAGAGCTAACAAGTGTTGGTGAGGATGTAGGTTAGTCTATCCGTTATGCAAAGCGTGGGGCGATTCCTCAAGAAATTAAACATAGAACAACCATGAGACCCTGCCATCTGTCTTCTGGGTATATGGCCAAAGGAGATGAAATCACCCCCTGTACAGACAACAGCTCCCCTGTGTCTGTGACATCGTTGTCACAACAGCCAAGAGAGGGACACAGCGTGTCCACCAGCAGACAAATGGCCAAATTCATTTTGTGATGTGGGTGTGTGCGTGTTTGCATATATAATATATACACATATATGGAAATGCATATATACATGTGTATGCCTAGATATATATGCACATATGTAAATATGTCTGTACAAGTACATAAACATATGTACACAATGGAATATTGTTCAGACTTTAAAAAAGAACCTACCATTTTCCACAACATGGGTGGACCCAAAGGATCATATGGCAAATTAGCAGGCGTAGAGAGAACATATTCCTGTTCTCACTTACGTGAAATCAAACAGAACAGTCAAGTGTGCTAAGACTGAGAACAAAACAGTAGACCAGGGGTTGAGGAGTAGTGTGCAAAGCAATGAGGAAGTGCAGGCAAGGGCTACAAAGTGACAGATGCGTAAGATGAAGAAATCCAGGGAAGAAAGATACACCGTGAGGACCATAACCAAGACCATTTCAGGTAATTGTTTCATTTATCATTTGTTTGTTCAACACTCTCAAAAAGTATTTATTGAATGAAGAAATGATAACTGTACAACTTCCAAATTGAATATTAGATGAGGCAAAAAAATATTCTGGATATAATCAAATCATTTCAGCAAAGACAGTTTAGAAGAATGTTTTGAATTATTAAAAACGATCTTGAAGTTTTCTTGGAAATGTTAATCACACTAAGCTCTTTAACCTTCATTTCAAAGGACTACACAGAAGGAATCTCCTTGTAGATTAAGAAGAAGGACTGAATGGAAGTTGTACTGTACCACTTCCCAGTGTGGTAATTGAAGTCTTCTCTGAGATTCGTGTGTAGGTGCCCTGATTCAAAAGCTCCGTGTGGCTGCAGGAGAGAAAGGTTTTGCAGCCTGTATTTTTGGAGCAGTGAAGGCTCAATGCAAGCAGCTTTTAAGAAGTGGTTTTATTTCCGTATTTTCCTCTGAGTGAATTTTGTTTTGTACCCCTTTTCCTTTTCTTCTCCTTTTTTATTTTTTTTGAGATAATTTGACCTTAGATTCAGGAGCAGCCGTGAATAACTTCGTTCTCACCCCAAGTTTTCCTGTTCTGGCACCCTCTTTCTGAGGCTCCAGAGCAGATCCCTGGGCCCGCTTTGCCCGCTCCCTAGGCGGACCCAGCACCTGTCCTCTGTGCAGGCAGAAGGTCACTTCCGCTGGCCTTGGCCGTCCATGGCATGGACTTGGTGCCTTCTCCCCTCCTCTGCTGGGCTGGGCCATGCTTCTCCTTGGCCTTGGGTTGGCTTCACACTCCCAGCAGGCCTTGCAGGGGTGCAAGGAAGCCACGGAGGAATTAAAGTGGCCTGGATGTGAGGAAGGGACATTGGCGCCAGGACCAAGGACAGCTAAGACTGCCCTGGACAAACCCGGGGGAAGAGGATGGACGCAGGTGGAGGGGCCCATGCAGCAGCAGCTGCCCTGTGTCTGCCTCCCCGGATCTGGCTGACTCAGATATTATCAGCGCTGTCTTCTTTAACAGCTGACAGATGACAAGCACTAACTTTTCTTTTGTTTTTGTTTTTAATTAAGTGAAATCATTTTAGCACATCTTGTGCTGGTGTTCTCTTGTGAACTCCTTGGGATTTCTTTTTTCTGACCTCCTCTGCTTTCTGTTAAGTTCCTTGTCCTCTTCCCAGTGATTCTCTTGGATATTATTGTGAAGTCTTCATTGTACATTGCGAATATTTCCCCCAACATTTTTGAATACTCTTTTCTTGTTACAAAACTCTTTTGCAATCAATTCTATTTTGGGTCTTGACAGAAGGAAAAAAATCTTCATTTTACAATTATTTTTAAAATTCTTCTATACTTTTGGAATGTTCGTGGTTTTTTTATATGTCTTTCTCCATCCACCGGAAACGTTATTTGTGTTTCTTGCTAGAAAGGCCCTAACTGTATCTTATAATATCATTGTCTGTCTCCTTGTAGCCACGTATTAAACACTCAGTCTCTTCCTCCTGACTTGTATGCGCTGTGCTACCTCTGCTCTTCAGTTGTGTGTTTCTGGATGACTTTTCTACCCCACTGATAGTTTTTTTCTCCAGACTGGTCACTAAGTCACTTATGTTTCACTGCAAGAGTGTGCATAAAGTCCACTTTATAGGACTGTGGGGAGTAACGCAAATGAGTACCAAGCATTAGCCACATGCCTTGGTTATAATAGATGCTCAATTAAATATTTATTGGTGTTATTGTTTACAACACTACCCTGCTGCTGTCACTATCCGAATCATATCATTTTAATTTTTCTTGCTTCTTAAAACTGACTGGCATCCAGCAGGTTAAGGCCACTCCTCCTCCTATTGTTCTTCTGTCAGATAGCAGCAGGGTTCTCCCCCGTTTCTCCTCCATGTGAGCTTTGAGAATCAGTATTCTGCAGCTTCATTGAAAGAACAAACAAAGACAACCTCGAGTATTTCAGTTGGGATTACAGCTTAGTATTGGGTTGATTTGGTGAGAATTGACTAAAAAAGTATGAAATTTCAAGAAATAGAGATTAAGTTAGCAGATTTGCAATGCACATCACACATTAGTTATTTTAAATGAGAGGAAACAACATTTTTTAAACAACTGGTATGGAGCCATGGAATTTTATACCCAGTGTCCTTCAGAACCTTCCTCAGCAGGCGAGCAGCGGGCCACCTGGGAGTCACAACACTGATAATCTAGATCAGTGTGTTTCTAGTCAAGTCCAGCGAAGTTCGGGAAGCAAGTGAGGCCGATGCGCTGGCTGGGCCCTGGGCAGTTGGAGCAGTGCTGCTCAGGGTGCAGCCCGAGGCCTCTGTCGTAGGAATGTCAGGATCAGGACCAAACTTAAGCAGAGGGATTTATGCAGCCTTGTAGCAGTGGACACCATGCATGTTAACTCTGATCCTTTAGCATGTGCATGTATGGAATTTAATTTTATTTCTTCTAGTAGTTTCAGTGCTGAGATAAACTGAAAAAGCAAAATGAAAACAAAACTCAAGACTGGTCCTGGAAGACAATTTGGAGAAGCTTAGCTTCCCTTCGGCTGGAGGGCGCGGTGCCCGCTCACCGCTCACCCCGCTTCAGCACAACAGACTCCTGCACGGTGCTCTCTTGCTGTCCTAATAATTTGGTGCCGTATTTTCCGGAGTCACTTGGTTTGTGGCCTCTGCCAGAGGGGCTCCGCTACTTTTGAGCAAGGTCGCGTCTGTTTAACTTCACATCAGCAGTCTTTGGGAATCGCTTTTCTTAGAGTCTTGCAAACCAAAATTGAGGAGTCTTCCATTCAAAAACAGCAACAAAAAGCTTTGCCAGATTGCTTAGTAATTCGTACATCCGTTTTATGTGAATTTTCCCTTTTCAGTGGAGTTACAGATTTGCGCATCGTTGCTATGTCTGTGCCTCTGTACGTCGCGGCTTGCATTCTTTTCCCTCCCGCTGTCTCTGTGTCCCCTGGCCCGTTGCTGGTGCATGCATACAACGTGCTGCCGCTGTCCATTCAAAGAGATTTGTCTCATATTTAGCTTATTGCTCTTAATCTTATGGCCCTATGCATGTATTTTATTTTCTAAACTTTCTCTATTATTTCTTTCATTATGTTCAAAATATACTCTGTCGGCCAAGTTTACCAAACGCTCTTGATATTTTAAAAATTTTATAAGGGAGTGAATTTCAGTGTTCATTTGTGTTTGTTCTCTAACCCCTTGGCAACTTGTTTTGTTGCATGCACAGGACGAGGGTCTGTATTCTCTTTTCTCCTTTAAATAACTTGTTACACATCAGTAGCATTGAATAGCCATATCCTTTTCTACCTATTTATCTTTCACCTTTACGATATAATAAATTTAGCTTGAGGATTTGCTCTTATCGATCTGTATTCATCCCAGCCTGTGATGTGTACTGTAGGATTTTAATCTCCAATAATTTCAGCTCTGCTTCTTCAGCTTTCTTTGTCAAATGCCCCTGGCTATTTTTATGTGCTGTTTTTTCCAGATGAATATTGAGGTCATTTATCGTAGTATTCTGGTTTATGTTTGAGCCTGAGGGTGGAGAATCTTGGTGATTTATGTTGTTTTGATTCTGAGACATACCGATATATGCATGTGACCAAATGATACTACTGTTAAATATGCTTCTAGCACAGTGCATTTCTCCTTCTCATCTTCCTCTATCTCGGTTCGGACAGCAGGTTCTGTTGTCTATACGAAGAACACGTAGATGTCAACAGTTGTAGATGTTATTAATTTGAAATATATATATATATATACACACACACACATTCATGAGATACATAAATATGCATAAAAGTATATTATGTGGTACATTTATAAGTCATTTCCCTGGACATAATAAAGCTTATACTTCATGCTAAATTCACTGCAATTTAGCCAACATTTTTGCTCTCTGCAGTTTAGTTAATGTTAATGTAGATTATACTATTTTTAGGCCTTTTCCACCTTTAAACAATCTTATAGAAAAAATAAAAATGACTGCCTATTTTGTTGCCTCAAGTCATTTTGCAAGTTGACTTGTATTTTTAGAGAAAATGTGTTTCACATTTACTGTTTCTTCAAGCAACTCTTAAAGGATCCGTCATGGTTCTTAGAATTTCACTGTAATCAGAGCAGCAGCACTGTTGTAATAATCCATCCCATGATAATGTGGTAGATTAAATCCATAAGTCATTTTAGTGCGCAAATATTATTGGCTAATACAATATAATTAATGAAGTAAGCTAACCCATTGAAATGAAGAACTTCTATGTATATGTTAGTCATTCATAGAGTTTTTTCCTATGGCCCCAAATTCAAAGATAGCACATTTTTTAACTGTTTTTATGGTAGTATTTAGTCTTTATTTTAGAAAGTCTTTTTGATGTTTTTCATTTAAACTCTTAATCTCATCTGTAAATCTTATCTGCTGTATCACAATAAATAATCATCTAACCTGTGTTAAAATCTCCCAAGCCATGTTAAGTGGCAAACACCCATGGTCTCAGCTATTTGAGAGGCTGAGGCAGGAGGATTGCAAGTTCCAGGAGAGTATGGGAAACTTAGTGAGATTCTCTTTCAAAATAAAATTCTAAAAAGGAGCTGGGGACTCAGCTCAGTGGTAGAGCACTGGGCAGCGTGTGGAAGTCCCTGGGCTCAGTCCCTGTTCTGCACACACACACACACACACACACACACACACACTCACTCATATGCACACACCCCCACCCCGTTTTGTTTTGAAGGTTGCTTTAATTGTTAACAAGTGTTCCTGTTACTGAACTGAAGGCTGACATAAGAATGCCCATTTTTCTGCACTGTGTCCAACAGCAAGCTTGCTCTTCCGTCCCTTTTATGACTGATACGTCAGAAGACAGCAGAAGGTGGCTTAGTCTCCTCTCCCCCTCCCGCTGGACCTTGCTGTCCCTGCAGAAGGTGACACCTTCACCACACATGCGTGGCTCCGAACATGTGCAGTATGCGGGGTGCTCCGGGCCCCCCTGGGAAAGACCTACTCTTTGTCCTGGGAACAGTGGTGCACTGCAGCTCCTCGCTGGCTTCCCACAGCACACAGCCTGGGAAGCGAAGTTACATTCTCTCCATCATCTTATGTTCCTTTATTTCTTGGTATTTTACACACACGTTTACTTGGCTTCCTCTAAGGATTGTTTTCCTTGCTGTTCTCAAATAATTGCCTAGCGAATTCCATTCTTTCCTTTTCCTTTTTGGAGAGTGTTCCTTCTTTCCTTTCTTGGAGGCCTGGCGCTGCACTGCTGAGCTGCGCCCGGAGCCCCCTCACCTGACACATAGCAGAGGTCTGTGCCCTGCCTCACCCATCTGCTATGCGCCACCCGTGTCTTCAGCAGAGCCTGCACTCTCCCTACGCTGTGCCATGCATTTGATACACTCACGGTGATGTTTCTGAATGTCCCTGAGTAATTTTCTTTCATAGAAATCTCACAAAGGGCTTTTTCCGTAGCAAGATAAGGCCATTGTCATCATTCTGCAGTTTAAAAATGTGCCCTGTTTTAAATGATAGCTGCGTAGTAATTGACGACCTTCTGACTGGGTGGCAAATCAGCTGTGGAACTTCAACCTGGTTGCCTAGCATTTCTGTGCCTTGAATTCTTTTTGTACAAGAGGAAACATGAGTTGGAATAACTCTTGTGATCCTCCCGCCAAAGCCCCTGACACCTGAATGTCCAGCTAATGATACGGAGGTGAAGGTTCCAATGAGCTTTGCGAGAAAAAGCTATTTTACATTTTGTGAAGAAGAGACTTTTTGAAAAGCAATTTATTGTGTATCTTTGAGGATTTATAGTTTGATGTTTGGATGAGACCCATACAGAGAGTAAAATGGTGATTGTAGTGATGCACATCAACGTATCTGTCATGTCATTTAGTCACTTTCTTTTGTGGCAAAGATAGCTGAAATCGACTTATTTAGCAAAACATTCTTTTAACAGAACCCAGTGATATTATTTATAGCTCCGGTGCTGTGGCTTTGGTCTCTGGACTTGTTCATCCTTCGTGTCCATTACGTTGTGTCCCTGGATCTTTTCTCCCACTTCCTCTCCCTCTTCCTCCCCTCCCTACTCCTGTTTAATCACTGTCCATTTGATCTTTATTTTTTTTAACCCAAAGGACAGTCTGCTAAATTAAATAAGCCAGACACAGAAAGGAAAATATTACATGAGCTCACTTATCCATGGGATCTAAAAAGGGAAGAGACATTTTTGAATGTCACACGGAGAGCAGTTTATAAATACAGCTTCCAAAATTTCTTCTGCCTTTTCTTGAGGCTTCTTAGAAAGTTTGAAGAGAATGTGATCTGATGACCCATATTGGAAGGCATTATTCTTTTCTGTCAAAAAGTTAATTGAAGTTGAATAAATAGATTGTGATGAAAACAGGCACCCTGAGAACTTTCTCAAGGGTGATGATTATTTGGGAAGTTGAGTACTCACTTCCTGGGTTGGGCTGCTGCTCAGAAGGACTCAGAGCTGTGGTGGGAGGGCTGGTTCAGGAGGACGTCATCACGCACATGTTGCTGGCCTGTGTGCCTTTCCCTTGTGTTTTACTAAAAAGGAAAACATATGCTTGAAGATATGTTCCCATGCCGAGAGACTTAATTATTTTTCATGATGAGCTCCAGCTGAAAGAGAGTGTTCCTCAAATTGGCAACAGGGTGAATTTACATTGTCAGCTAGCAGACTCTGCTAGCCTGGGTCACCAAATGGCGCTCCTCCTGTGCTGTGTGTGCATCATAATACGCTCTGTCACACTACAATCAGCTGCTGTGACACACTCGTCCCCTGGGGGTCAGTCCCTGGACCCCCACGGATGCCAAGATCCGAAGACGTGCAGGAGTCTTATAGAAATGGCATAGTAGTTGCATGCTGCTGTGCACATCTTCCTGAATATGCTTTACATCATCTCCAGATTCCTTATAGCATCTAAATAGAGTGTCATGTTGCCTAAACCATGGCTCTCTGGCATGGCTCAGGGGATACTGACAAGAAAAAAGAGTCCGTACATGCATAGGACGGTTGCAGTTTTTTCCTCAGATGTCTTAAGTCTGGTTGGTGGAATGCACGGCTACAAACCCCACACGGAGGCAGCCAGCTGTGCTTAGAAGAAAGCCCGTCAGGAGCCATTAGGGGTTCTCCACCCAGTCAGTGTAAAACCCCGTGTCTCGGGCTAAAGAGGACCTTTGTTCGGGGAGAAGCTTCCTGGCTTCCCCGTTTGTGGATTAACTGTGTTATGACTGGCAGGCCAGAGTTCGTAGCCACTCAGCTACTTCCATGTGGCTACCGACCCCCAAGGTGTATCTAGTGTGAACTGAGAGGAGCTGCATGTGTAAGTGTGTGAAGACTTGATACATATGAAAGTAATATGAAACAGCTCCAGGTAACTTGGATTGGATACATGTTGAAATGATAACATTTTTCTGTATAGCTTAAAGAAAGCATAGTGTTAATGTCATCTGGCTTCCTTTGTTTTTACTTTCTTAATGTGGCTATATATATATATATATATATTTTTTTTTTTTTTTTTGAGACAGGGTCTCACTATGTAGTTCGACCTGTCCTTGAACTCACTGTGGAGCCCAGGCCAGCCTCAAACTCAGTGACGATCTGCCTACATCAGCCTCCCTTGCTAGGTTTACAGGCATGTGCTACCACGCCCAGGCCTCATGTGGCTGTTTAAAACCTGAGATTGCATCGATGACTCATGCTACAGTTCTCCCTGACGACACCGGTCAAACATGGTTCAGAAAACTTAAAGATTGGCAGCCTCCATGTTTAAGCAAAATTTAATTAAAGTTGTATACACTGTTCTTTCATTTAGAAATGCTTGCAAGGTTTGTCCATTTTGTTCTTTCTGTCTGTGTTAGCAAATTCCTGCTCCCAGTCACTTCCTGGTTGATTTTAGTGCTTCTGTCCTTCAAGGTTTCCTGGGAATCTGTAGATCCTTCTGTGAAACTATTTTTGCTTTTTTACTTCACATTGATTTCTCCCTTCTCTGAAGACATTTTGTATCGATAAAGTATATCAGAACACTAACACTTAATTAGATCCCATTTTAAGGTAATCTGGAATGGGTTCATGAGTTTCTTAGATTAACAGTGTTTTGAGGAGGGGAAAGACAAACATAGATTCTTTCTCTGCTCTCAGAGTTGCTCATCTTCCTCACACAGCTAACAGTGAGTCGACAGGTCCCCTTCACATGCGGTCGCTTCACTATCCCAGTTTCCAGTGCCCACCGTGGTAGACACTGGTAGACACGGTACCACTACGCATAGGCTTGTCACATGTGGTCATCGTGCTCTTTTGGTTAATCCAGTTCTTACGGCGGTGCTTTAGAGGAAGAAAGGCCGTGTCACCTCTATTAAAAGCACACAGAAAATTTACTGTTGCATATTTGTATCTCTGATCTCTCCCTTTGTCCTTTTTAATCTCTAATGTCTCCCCTTTCCTCCCTAAAATATTGGTCATTGTGTGTTCAGGATGATGCTCGCCAGCTATTTGTGCTTGCGGGAGCTGCCGAAGAAGGCTTTATGACCGCAGAGCTCGCTGGAGTTATACAGAGATTGTGGAAAGATAGTGGAGTGCAGACCTGCTTCAGCAGATCCCGGGAGTACCAGCTGAATGACTCCGCAGCATAGTGAGTATCGCAGCCTCAGAGCCAAGCTCTCGTGAACAGTCACTTGCAAGCAAACATAACCACTGAGTCAATTTTGTTGCAGAATTGGCTGACACATTAGGACAATTTAGGATCTTCAGGATGATAGCATTTGCAAACTTTCTGTCTTTTGTGTGTATTTGTAGATAGTGGTGCTCTTATTTCCTGTGTGTTCCTTCTTATGGGAACTCTAATTGAAACATGCAGAATAGGAATGTTTCTAGTGTATTTCCAAGAAAGCAATGGAACTTCGAGAAATCCACTGTGACTTTGAATGTATCTCTAGTTTACTTGGAACTAGCTACATGGGAGGGTGACTGATTTGGGTTGTGTTCATGATACTGATGGTGCTGTGTTCTGTGACAGATGCCTAAAGTCTTTTGGAGGGGTGAATGGAGATCCCAAGATATTTTCTAAGTAAAACAGCTTTACATTGAAAATTGTTAATGGAATGTCCTATGACATTAGACACTGCTTACAGATAATTAAACGCAGGTCTTTGGAAGACAAATCTGCCCCAGTTTTTCAGATGGTAACCCCAGAAAGTTTGTAAAACAAGTTGTGATAAAACCCAACCAGTGTTCTGCTTGGTGACCTATACAGAACAATAATAACTTTTTAAAAAGCACATATTATTTTCATAATTTGGCACACAAACTAAAGAATATCAGACATTACATGTGTTGCATTAATCATTCTTTAAAATGTGTACTGTGCACTTTTAATACTCTCCTATATTCTGTTTTGTGGACAGAGCTGTTGACTTACAGGGACAAAAGTAGGATTTCTTAGATGATGACGGGTGTTGGTAGATGCATTCATTTTTCCACAGTGAAAGACAAATAAGTGGGTTGTGGACCAAAGTACCTTATCGCATCACTGCTGTGTGATATGTGCTGTATGATGTGTGACTTAGTCCTAGTAAATAAATAATGCACATCATCGTACCACCCACAGGCATATTTTCCCTCTGTTTATCTACATTTTAAAAGTTTTATATATAAGATTTAATTAGTGTATGTAACATTTTTATGATGAGTCTGTCTTATCAGTGTCATCCTTTCTACAAAGAAATACTCCTTCGTGGACAGTAGGTCCTCATTTTACTCTTAGATACTCATAAATACAAAGCACTTTTCCTTCACATTCCCACTTATTTTGAGGTTATTTGATTTATATTTGGGTTGTGACTTTTTATTATTTTCTGTCCTTGCCCCTACACTGTAGCTTCAATAATGTCTGATTTTGACCAACAGCGTATCACTGTTATTGTCATTACTCAAGGTGATCGCTTTTAACAATAAGTAAATTAGCCAGACTTCACACAGGCTAGAAAACACAGCAAAGAAAATTACTCAGAGAAGGAGCATAACACTTAAGCCATGTTATCTGTCCTGCCACCATCTGCACCTACAGAATTATGTAAGCAGAATCACTGTCACAGTGAGAAGATTGCTCCCAGCTAAGCGCAGCCTAGGAGCTGCTTCATGATTAGGGCATGGCGCCTGGGGACAGGGGACTGACGTCTTCTCTCTCACGCGGGTACTCGTCCACGTACTGCAGTCTCCGTCACTCCTGTGCACGCCGTGGGAGCTGCACCGAGAGCAGTGTGCTGCTGTCACTGCCCATTCCTTCATTTCTGGTCGTTCAGACCTTCAGAGACAATGATGTAGCCATTTTTCAAGAATGAAAGAAATCATAGCAACGTTGTTTTCAGTGTGGGTAGAGGCACCTAGATTTCTGAGCTTTCTGCTGGAGGTAGTAGGGTCCTGCCAGATGCTCACACGGATGTCAAATTGCCAGTTTACAGCTATCATTTAAAACATGGCAGCTTTTCACAATGCCGCATTTTTGTCTTGTTGAAATATAAATGTGCATTATTTTTAGAGACTGTTAGAATATAGCAGTTTTAATGAAAAAGCATCTATGAGTAATCAGAACACATTTCAAAGAATACTATTTTAAAGGCACAGTAAACATCTTGCTATGATTTGTTTTGTTAAATCAGAATTTTTTGCAGTAAGTACAGTGTTATGTCTGGGGTTAAAAGGACAGATGGAATACTGGAGGAGGGGTTATCACCATTGGGATTTTTTAAATAAAAATCAGTAAAAACAATACAGGTGGAACATAGGTATAAAAGCCCCAAATCCCCTCAAAGTGCAAAGTCTGAAATGTTTTTGGTTCCAGACTTTTTGCATAGTGGATACTATGCCTGTGGAAGTCACCCACCCACACACCTGTACCTGCCTGTCTCCAGAACACTGTTGCTAATTCAGTGTTTGCATAACCCTCCAGCTCAGTCCCTCTCAGACCCAGCAGCGAGGAGCTGGGGTGAGGAGTGGTGGTCAGAGTGCTGTTCTTGTGTACAGGGGGCACCTCGGTTCAGTCCCCAGCACCACGACGGCAATAACAACAGCAGTGAGAGTAACGCACACCTTTAGTTTGCAAGACCCTGTTCTGAGTGGTGGAGCAGCATGTTCGGAGGAGGAGTCCCATTTAATGCTGTGGTAGCTGGTGCTGCTCTGTACACGAGTTTATCTTCTGAGCCGTCTGTCACTCTGCGACCCCAGAGAACACACACAGTGGTGCTGTTCCCAGCACTCAGCAGAACACAGGTTCCGCCCAGGGCCTCACCTCAGGCAGAGCCCGCCTGTTAGGGGGCTTCCTCTCCTTGAGTTAAGAGGAGCCTGCGGCTGTCTGCACGCTGCCTGACCCCTTCTTATGGGGTGGCAGTCCCAATCCCTCCCGTGAGTGTCTTTCCATCACGCCTGTCACTCTCCACCCACTTCCTCAGCAGCCCCCCACACCCCAGCTTTCTGTGCAACTTTTCTCCTACCATTTAGCTCGGTACAAAATAGTTTACTTTCTTTCGTTGCCCGGTGTGTACCGCTCCGTTTTAAAGTCACAGCATACTTGTTGGAATTGGCAGAGACCATCCGGTGAGTGGCTGATGGCCTGGGGAAATGAGCATGAGGGTGATTCAGAGCACCGTACCGTGCAGCACCCTGAAGCCCAGGACTGAGCAGAGCCCTCTCCTTCAGACTTGGCCTGCAGCTTCCTCACTACTCTCTCCGAAGTGAAGATGTAAAACCTTCATCCAGAGAGTGGTTTGTGGAATGCAGACATCGTCTTACATCAAAAAAAGTGTGATGGAGAAATTTAAGGGACAAACGCACGGTGTATTTCTTAAAGAACTTACTCCCTTTCACTTGAAAGGCACGTGAAAAATACTAAGAGGACTGAGGATGTAGCTCACTAGTGCTACACCTGCCTGGCAAGCGCAAGGTCCTGAGTTCGATTCCAGGTACCAAAACAAAACAAAGAATTTTGTGGCTGGAGAAGTCTCAACATTTTCATTTCTGTAGGAATTATGTAAGATCTAGTCTTAAATTAGTGGTTTTATATCATTTCACAGAAAATTTAAAACTTTCAGTGTTTTCTGAATATTGCATGTGTTCGAATATGTTTTAGGCTTTGTTTTGGGGACTGTATCAGCCACATCCACCCTTAGCGCTTGTTCTGTCATTTGTCTTTCCAGCTATTTGAACGACCTGGACAGAATAGCACAAGCCAACTACATCCCAACTCAGCAAGACGTTCTCAGAACCAGGGTGAAAACAACTGGCATTGTTGAGACCCATTTTACTTTCAAAGACCTTCATTTTAAGTGAGTAGCTTCCGAGTATAAGAGCCATAAATTTAGAAACAAGACACTAGTGCTTGAGAAGAGGGGGAATAATAGTAAAAGCTGACAGTGCTTTCATAGTTGGAAATTACAGTTAGAAAATCTTTTCTCAAGTGATAGAACAAATGAATTTTTGCACAAAAGAGGGCAAAAAGACACATACTTTGAATGTTTTTATTTAGGAAAAAATAGCCAGCCAGACAAATGCTTTGGTTTGATTGTTTGTTTGGTTGTTGTGCATGGAATGACGGTTGAACCCAAGAGAGTTCTACCGCTAAGCCACATTTCCAGTTCTTTATAATTTTATTATGAGACAGGGTCTCACTAAGTTGCTGGCCTCAAACTTGCAGCCCTCCTGCCTCAGCCTCCCGAGAAGCCGGGTTCCTGGCCTAAGCCACTGTGCCCAGGTTCTGCCTATGTTTAGTATTTTAGACTAACCTAGTTTTCTGAGTTTCATTTCTAGACAGCAAATCCTCCTCTAACATAACCATAGTGTATTTGTGGAAAATACTGCTATCTGTCTTTAGGTAGAAAGAGGAAGAGGTTTACTGATGCTCACGTAGGGAAATAAAGACCTTCAAATTACTCATGAAAATGTTTATTCACAGCAAACTGACATGAGCACTAGTCCCAGTGTACTGTTGGCTTCCTGAGGTGGGAAGAGACGAGCACGGAATCACTGCCCTTAGCCGTGGAGCGGTCTTAGAACCCTTCTGTCTGCTGCCCTTGTTTTATTTTTTTATTTTTTTATTTTTTGGTACCGGGGATCAAACTCGGGTCCTTGCGCTTGTGCACAGGCGGCAAAACCGCTGAGCTAAATCCCCAGCCCCTGCTGCCCTTGTTTTATAATGCACCAGGCTCGAGGAAGGTCAGCGGAATATTACTTTCAAATTTACACAGTTGCATTCCTCTCTTTCCAGTGAATGACATAGTTCAGAACAGGGGGAAACACACTGGGACCTGAACACAGGCAGACGCCACACTCCGCTCCAGCCCTCGCCCTTTCCCTGCCCCTCGACCCCTCTTCTTAGCGCCAAGGTTCCCCAGCCCAAATTACCACAGTGTGTTCTCTGGTATTTGTTCTCACCCACCTCCTTCTAGCTGAGATGGTAGCAGTCAAGTCAAGGGGAAGGGTCTCTCATGTAAATACATAAATATGCGGGGTGAGTGACATCGCAGGATTTCCTACTGAAACGAAGCTTCTGTCTTTGGAGAAATCCCAGTGGTACTTGATCTTCAAAATACACTGATTTAAAAATTAAAGGTAGTTCTATTTATCCTTCTTCATGTTATCTCTTTCCATATTTTGAAGCTACATGAAGGGGTTGGCAGAAGTTTATTATTCTTTTTTAATCAACTGCTGCTTTCTCCATGTTCATACTGCTTGGAAACTCCCCTGCATCAGTGCCAGTCACACATCAAGTCCAGCAGACGGGACCCGAGCAGAGCCCTGTGGGGCAGGACCCACTTCACACCACATAAATATGACCAGAGGGAAAAAGAACAGACACCAGGGTTAAATGCGCTGCACCCTTACGGGGGTTTTGTTTTGTTTCTGTTTTTGGTTTAACAGGTAGGAGTTGCTTTTCGTGCTTTCACCCCAACACGGTAGAGGCAGTTTAGAGGAAGGCTAGGGCTGCAGCTGGGTGTAAGCTATAGTCAGGGCTGTCTGTACCCGCAGGGCCTTATAGTTAGCTAGACTTGAGTTCAAGGGACTCTGCTTGTTGCTACAGAAAATTGGATTTAAAAAGGTATTTAAGGTATATTTTATTCTTTATGAAAATTTTCATAATTTTTATATTCTGTGTTTTTCTAAGGTTGCCTTTTTAAAAATAACTATGAGGGGTGAGATAGGTCATTTGTTATCTATTCACAATGTGTTTTTTCCAATTATGTTTAGTGGAGGTCTTTATTCTTTTTGTAGAGTTTGACTTTACATGAATATGTACACATACGCTTACCGATCATCCTGCTGTATTTCCATAGCAGCAGAAAAAATGAAATTAGAAAAAGAAAAGCAACAACAAATTGTTAAATCTCTGTCAAAGATGAATTTATTTGTACTTGGGTTGCAAATGGAGTATATCCCATGTTACTGGAACTATTTTATCACTATAGTTTAAGATGTTACTATTCGAGATAATCATTCTAAATAAGGCTTTTATGTGAAATATCAGTCAAGACTGCTTCAGTTAACTCCAGTGTTCTGCAAAATGGTAATCATAATAAAGTAGAATCTCTGGAAACCCTTGATTAGTAAGTTCACTTCCTAAAGAAAGCTCACTATTACAAATTGAAAGCTCTCTTAGAAATGCACAACTACATCTCTTACTGTTTCTGAAAACATTTTAGTTCCAATACTTTTGTTACACCATTGGCAGTGACTTATCAGTGATTTATGTAACTTGAATTTTCCAGAGGAAAAAAGTTCAATTTCAGTTCACTATCCCTACCCCCTGCAAAAAACAAAACATTGCCCTGGTTTCTTAAATGAAGATATAGTTCACAGTCAGTTCATCTGGAAGTACTAACTTTTTGCTTTAATGCATGTATGGCTTTTGCGTGTGCTGTTAATTTATTTTCCTCATTTTTATAGACTCTCAGTCGACCGGAAGTTTGCTGTTGGTATTGGCTTACTGAATCGCTTATCTTCCTTTAGTGGGCTTACAGTTCTAGAATATTAAATGGCCATGCAATATCGCTGATCTGGGGACTGGTTCATAGTTATCTTTAAAGGCAGTTAATTCACTGTTATAATGAGATGGAAAATGCACTTTTTAAAACCTAGTGCAGCTTGAGCTCTGTTTTGAGACGGTTGTGTTCACCTTGTTTTAAAGACCATGTTCTAAAGAATGCTTACGTTGTTCGGTGCAGGTGATGGCTTCTGTGTGGCTAGTATGGTCAGACAGCAAGTGCCTGGAGGTGGTTAGCAAGGAAGGAGCCCGGCCCTGTGCAGCGGTTGGACAGACTCCCTTCCCATCCTAACACAGACACTACATGTTCTTTCCCATCATTGGATGCTTGAAGATGACCGAGTTACTGCCCATTTAAAACAGAAGTGGTAAAGGTGAAAATCTTTATGAATGGTGGCCCATGGCAGTGGCAGATGTTGAATCAGTTATTAGTACCAGAAGCGATCTGACTGTGAAATTCCCCTCAGTGGTGACGGGAGACCCTCTGACAGCTTCACTGCCACACATCCGTCTCACTGCCCCGTGGATGTGGCCCTCCTTTGTCAGAGTTGCCGTGTGGACAGCAGCAAGCCCTTCTGAGCAGTCCTTCATTTTACCCTCCTCAGACTGCTGGAGGAAGGGCAGCCTCACTGGATGTGTTTAGTCCCAGTTTTGATTTGCTGACTTAAGAGATAAACACAGGTTTGTCCAGATCTTCAGATAAGCTTTGTCTCATTGGAACTGCGCTCCATTGCCCGTCATTACCACAAACGGTCCCTTGTGGCTTTTCTATGGAGATGTGCATGGGTGATTCTGCAGGGGCCACATCAGGGTGTCCTCGTTTGGCAGATCCGTGTGCATTTCATGTCAGAAATCTTTGACTTTAACTGCTGAGCAAAACAGGTTTCACCTTTTTGGTACCCCTAGTAGTAACAAATTCAAAATGTGGTGACAAGGCATTTGTTAGCATTTAAGAATTCCTGCTACATCCTTGTGAACAGGCATCCATGGCTAGGATCTACAGGACTTGTTGCCAGACATAAAGGATCTCTTCTGTTATAAGGTGTGCATAGGACAGTTTTCTGTCCCTTTCCTAGCAGTGTAAGTGGGTGGTGGATTTGGAGCGCAGTGTCCTGTGCAGAGTTGGGTGTCCCTGTATGCTGAGCGGGGTGTGTCATGCTCAGTCCTGTTTTAGGCTCTCAGGTTGAGCCATCACCCCTAGGGTGCCCTGGGTTCCCTTCCCCACCTCAGACAGCACCCATGGGACCAGGCTCATCCCCTGATTGATGCTGCTCAAAGTCTCAGCTTTTCCTTAGAAAGAGCATACAGTGTATTTCTTTTTTTAAATAGAAGTCCAGGTTTTAAAGAACAGTATATTTAATAATTTAAAAAATTTTAATTATGATATATGAAACAATGAAAATCTCTCTCTCCCTCCCTCTCTTTCTCTCTCTCTTTGTCTCTCTCTGTCTCGCTCGTCTTCCTAACTCACTAAATTTCTCAGGCTGGACTTCTCCTTGCAGTCCTCTTGCCCCAGGCTCTCAGAGGGCTGAGATTGCAGTTATGTGCTCAGAATCATCTTCAGGATCCATACTTCTGCCAAGCATGGTCTTGTGGGTTAGCTGATTCTCAGAAATACTGTCTCCACACCTGTACAATCAACATCTCCCACCTGTCGATTCTGATTCACCTGAAATCTGAAAACCATGGGTTTAGACTAAAAGTTCTTTGTTTATGACCATATATGAAGGGCCCCCATTCATTCATAGTTAAATTTAGAAAATAAGTTGAAAACTTTTTTCTGTGGTCAAAATACTTGATTATCAATTACACTGGTGCCTCGCTTCACAAACTTAATTCTTTCCACAGTTCTGGGTGCAAACCGAATTGGTCGAGAACCGAGTCAAATCTCCCCATAAGGTCAGCAATGAACCTAACCATTGAATTTGATTCGATTTGCGCCCAGTTCAGTTGGTCAGTAAATACTCACGAAGTACTCGTCTGCTCAGAGAGGGACTAGGTCTTCCTCTCTGTGTGGAGATGAAATACACATGTAGTATCTCGGAGATGATAATTGCTATAGAGCCGAGTGGAATTTACTGGAAAATACGTACCCACATGCACACCCTAAGAGAATGCAGGTCTTCCGGCCACTGTGAACCCTGCCTGCTGTGTGCGTGGCCAAGCAGAGACCTTCTCTCCCCATCTGAAGGTCAGACTGCAGTCACCCTGGTGCCAAGCGGTGCCCACTGGAGGCGCTGTGGAACCACTTCCTGCCCCTGCCCAGCTCCCTCGCTGCTGGCCATTCGCAGCGCTCTTGGCTTGTAGCTGTGTCATTCTTCCTCGTGTGTGTGTGTGTGTGTGTGTGTGTGTGTGTGTGTGTGTGTCTGTGCCTGTGTGTGAAATGGTCCTTTTCACTTACTGGTTCATTCCTCAGTTTACCTTCCCACCCTCATTTTACTATCAGTGTCAGGAAGAAGGCTGCTCCTTTCCACACTTGGCTTGAAAGTCTCTCCAGCTAAATGTGCCCAAGTTCACGGGGCTTACAAGTCAGAGCACAGTTCAGCCTGTTGTGACCACGTTATAGCATGAATTGCCTCTCCTGTGCTGTATGGTAACATGTTTCCTTTGAAGACCTCAATTAAAGCATATTTAACATTCATATACCTACATTCTATACATGACTCATACCAGAATCATCTTTTCTTTTTTTTTAATAGAGGCAGTAGGCATTGAATCTAGGGCCTCCACACTGATCTGCATCTCTAGCTTTTTTTTTAAATAAAGTTTTATTTTGAGACAGGGTCTCGCTGAGTTGCCCCAGCTAGGCTTGCATTTGCTATCCTCCTGTCTCAGCCTCCCAGAGTACAGGGATTACAGGATGCATTTTAGTGTGGACCACATCTCAAAGACACCTTCCCAGTGGCACCTCTAGAAGAGTGTGCCCTGGTCTAGCCAAGTTGGCTACAGAAGTAACCATCACAAGAGAAAAGGTGGGGTGTGGGGCGGGTTGTTATCTGTGTTGGGTGCACACGGGATATGTGACATTTTAGGTCTCACAGAAGTTACCCGGATAAGTTCCGTTGGTCAGGTTGTCTTCAGATTGTGTTCCTAGGCAGTTTTACAAGTCACCAACATTGTCTTTTGCTCTGTTCTTCTTTGAGCTCTCTTACTGCTGTTTCCATCTTATCCAATTCGTATTGTGCCCTTTTTTGTGTTGTATCTTACCCATTTCAGTTTCTTATGTGGAAGGGTCATTTTGGTTCTCTAACGTTCTTTAATAGCAGTTTCCAGCTAAAGCAGAATGAAGGCAGCTTAAATGATGATAAAAGTAACGATACAAGTTGATGTACTCCGGTTTAGTTTATAGGCCAATACTGGTCTGCAGGGAAAATGTTTTTTGCTTGGGAATTAAATAGGGACTTTAATTAGTGCATTGTCTAGATAAATGAAGCCTTTAAAAATGTACCAGTTCTCCTAGTGTTTCCATTATGTAAGTGGTTATTTCTAGGTTGCATAATGTAGTCTGTGCAAATTTAAACTTTTCCTTAACTTTATAAACTCATGCCAGTAAAAAGAGGAAAAGGCCACGGTTGCTATTTTGTTGATGGTGTTACTACCTCCTTCAGTAACGCCAGTGGTTCGCTCTTGTATAAAAGGGTGGGTTTTTTTTCACTCTAAATTTCAGTGCCATTCAGTAGAGCCACTGCTTATTTCACGATTCAGTCCTCATTTTTCCATTCCCATGGTTTTCCCTCCTCATGTAGAGCCTTTTGCCCTATTTGACTTTGATTTGGGTGGCCTGCCTGTTCTCATTGCTATGTTTTTCCTTTACACCAAAGTCTTGGTTGCTGCTTCTGAGAGAGCTTGTTTTGTAGTAGGAAGAAGGGAGCCCTAGGGTCCCAGGACTGCACTGTCCTGCTGAATGCATCCTATGATCTCGGCATTCCCAGGTGCCATGTGGAGCTTCATCTACTCACACGCAGTGCAGCTGTCCGTGTTTGCTGCACTGCCCTGAGAGTTCTCAGATGCTAATGAATACCTCGCTTCTGGAGGATGTTCTTGGTTTGTTTGTTTCAGAGAAACCCACCTTAGAGTTGACAATTACAGAAACCAGCAGCCCTCCCCACTTGGAGAGACCCAGCCCGACATTGCTTTCCTCCCACGTGGAGCCCTCTTGTCCCTTCTCCCCATGCAGTGTCTCCCCAGCTCTCTGGGGCCTGTTTTCCTACCCCCGCGGAGGTCCTGAGAGTGGTGGAGCATGCGCTGTGGTCTCAGCTCCTGCTTTTTCCTCTCGCAGGATGTTTGACGTGGGCGGGCAGAGGTCCGAGCGGAAGAAGTGGATCCACTGCTTCGAGGGTGTGACTGCCATCATCTTCTGTGTGGCCCTGAGTGACTACGACCTGGTTCTGGCTGAAGATGAAGAAATGGCAAGTGGGAGGGATGGGAAGGGCGGGGCACAGGGCATGGAGACCTGGGGCTGGCCAGGAGCTTTCTGAGAAAACCTCTTGAGGAATTCGCGCCCCTGCCCCTGCCTGAAATATTTGAAAGTTCCCGCTTTCTTACAGCCTTTGTGCATAAGCGAAGGGAAGCGGGCGAGGAAGCACAGGACCATCTTGGGGACAAGGGAACGGTGGAGAGCGGTCTGGGCCCGCTCCCGAGTGCCTCACCATGCGTGCATGTGTGTGCGTCGTCTGCCGTCCGCAGAGCGAGGAAGAGGGCCCAGTCTGTGGCAGGCCAGGGCTCATGGTCTGCACCCTTCGTGCTGCCAGCCCAGTCACCTTCCCTACGTGGCACGCTGTGCCCCCGGAGGCTCATTTTCACGTGCGTTTCCCTGTACCATTAAGGTTTTCCTGGGGAAAATATTTCTAAATAGAACTTTAAAATTCTGTCATTTTAAATTAACTTCAATACAAAATAGAAAATCTAAGGAGAAACATTGGTTTTGTATTTTTAATGAGGCACATGCATCTGTGCTGCCCTTTGTGCGGGGCAAGAGCCCACAGACATTCCCCCCCTTTCTCCTTTCTCCGGAAGGAAATAGTGCATTGCCCTTGTGGAACACAGGTCCTGAGAGGGCAGGGAACAGCAATCAAAGCCGCCTCTCTCAGCATTGGCCTAACTGGATTTCAGCCTGTTCAGTTGCACTTATTAATCCGTCAAGCCTCCTCCTCTCTCAGTGAAAACCTACCTGACCAAATGTCCGCACTTGGACACCCCTGCACTGCACCTTCCTATGGCCGGAAGTCCCAGCGGCACAGTGGGTGACAGGTGAGGGACACTGAATGCAAACAGCCGTGCGTGATGAGGAGACACTCCTCTCACCTCAGGTCAAGGCTGTGCTTGTTCTCCAGGGGCAGAATCGGACCTTTGACAGACAGCACCTATTTTTCAGGCGACTAACCTCTGCTGTCTTTGCCACATTGGTTGTTTTTAAAATAATCCTACAGTGTCCTGGCTGTCAGCGAAAATCTGATGTTGTTTTTCATTACAGAATCGAATGCATGAAAGCATGAAACTGTTCGACAGCATATGTAACAACAAATGGTTTACGGATACGTCTATTATACTTTTTCTAAACAAGAAGGATCTCTTCGAAGAAAAAATCAAAAAGAGCCCCCTCACTATCTGCTATCCAGAATATGCAGGTATGTGACTTCCTTTGAATAACTTAGCAAGTCACGGAGTCACGCGTTTCTAAGCAAAACGTTCCCTCCAGCAAGATTTCAGTTGTTGGTTTCACGCTCTTGGCTTAGTAATTCTTAAACTTTTTGGAGATATCTGTCAACCTGCCTTTGAGCACAAGTCATTTGTTCAGGTGTGGATGAGTTTGTGGAAAATAGCTCGTCCATTTCTTTTTTTTTTTTTCCTTAAATTCTTTTATTGGTGCATTTTAGGTACACAATTACATTTGCATTTATCATTGGGTGCTTGTACCTGGACATAATGCATCTTGGTTCTTATTTTTTCCCCATTCCTAGCCCTCCCTTCACCCCCTCCACCCTTCCCTATTTACAAAGACTTTGTTTCCATTTTTTCCATTTCTCATCATTTTTCCTTTCCCTTCTTTCCTTTCCCCTTCCCCTCCCACTACTCCTACCCCTTTGGACCTTTGCTTCCTATTTCACATTATCAGTTATTCCTTTTAATCATTTTAATCCTTATTTACACTTTCAGTTTCAGAGAAACTATTCGGTATTTACACATGCGTGTCCTATTTATTTCACTTAAGAGTGTGGCCTCAGTATGCATCCATTTAGCTGTTACCAGCAGCCTTTCCATGAAATGGACCTGCTCTTTATGGCTGAGCACGTCCATTTCATGGAAAGGCTGCTGATAATTTCAGGGGCTGCTCCAGTCTTCAAAGGTTAAAATACTGGTTTGTTCATCAGTCGGCGGATCCCAGGCCTGGTGAGTTGTGCTGCACAATCAACAAGGTTTGCCCCGCTCACTGTCCAGTCTCAAAGGCAGAGTAACAAGAGACAGGCTGCCAGGAAGGAGAAAGGAGAGGGGTCCTCGAGGCTGCTGCTCCTCCAGAGCATCGCTGGGTGTCACGGGAAATCCAAACTGCGAGGTGAAGACAGATCCTGGGGCTTCACCTTCACTGCTCTGGAAAATGCTCTGGAGTGAGGAAAGCGGACTCGCAGTGCAGCCCTGGCTTTTTGACTTCGAGCTCTGATGTTGAGCAGGGCAGATAGTTTATCTAGAATTCTGTGCCCTATCGGCAAAGTCAAGCCCTGGGCTGAAGCCCTGGGCTGAAGCCCTGGGGCGAGTCCTGTGTGGTTGCATGGAGCAGCTCCGGGCTGCTTCTCCGTGTGACTACGGGGGAGTGGCTTCTCCTCTCTCACACAAGCACACGCCTGCACGCACACGCCTGCACACACCCGTGCACACCACACACACACACACACGCCTGCACATACACACACACACACACACACACACACGCCTGACTCCCATGAAGCTCGTCCCTCATTAAAGTGCAGTAACTCACTTTCCATGTTTCATACATTGGGCTCCTGGGTAAGATTTTCCTTCAGCAATGAGAATTACATTCCTTAAATAGGCAGGGCGCACACCACCACGGGTATATATGGCCCTAAATCTAGATATTCGGGAGACGTCAGTTAGTCATTTACTCTTGCCCCATCCTTCTCTTTACCATAGAAGGAAGTATCAGGAACTCTTCCATTATAAACTGCGTTCCTCAGCCCTGCTGAGCTAATTTCTACATGTGGTGACCGCCCTGGCCTGTCCTGTGGGGTCGGCACACGGGGCCTCTCCAACGAGGCCAGGGCCACGCTCCCTGAACCAAGTCCTCACTGGAGCCTGAAGGTGAGGAAGGGCTGCTCGCTGACCATTGCTATGCTCAGGATGCAGCACCTACTCGGTTTCGTAAAGTGTCTCACTTAAAACTGCTGCTTCCTTTTCGAAAGTCCCAGAATCCGAAGTTTCTCTACTCAGCGGCATTTTTAGTGCTTATTAGGAATAAGACCATTTATAATTCAGTTTCCAAATTGGAGTTCTCTGCAGTCGAGATGGCTCTGTTTCCCTTTCCTTGAATCTGGCATTTTCTTTGTGCCAGTTTTTACAGGGAAGTGGGCACTAGGTACCAATTCATAACACCCATGGCTCCAGACAAATCCACAGCTAATGTAGCCCTGGGGACTGCAGAGCAAGCAGGAATGTTCTCGGTAGGCCTTCCCTTGCTTACCGTGCGCAGCGTGTTCCAGAATCTTTGCACTGAGAGAGTATTACATAATTCCTTCAGGACCCCAGTGTTAAGATATGACTTAAAATCCACACCGCATGTCCTTCATGTTGATCACTGCTTCCCGCTTCGGCCTCAGCGCTGGTTCCCCGCAGAAGAATCCTGGGGAGTTTCGGCCTCGCTCCCTCCGGGCTTCCCTGCCAGCTCTGTCTGCGATGTCCCAGTCCTGTTCTTCTCGGTGCTGTGTGTGGCCACCATCCCAGACCTCGCCGGTCCTAACCCTAATCATTTTTTGTCTCGCTGTTAAATCCTGTTCAGGTTCTCCCCAAGCCTCTGGTTTGCATTAGCAGCTGCTGCTTCTTGAACATGTGCGCTTTTCTCACCTGATACTCAATCAAACTCAGCTTATTTTTTCCCCTCAAATCTCTTCTCTTTCTCTTGTGGTTATGTAATCAACTTCCTAGTCCTCTAATCTTGAACCTAGTTTCCTTTATACTTATCTTTGTTCAGGACAGTTCCATCTCTCTCTCTCTCTCTCTCACACACACACACACACACACACACACATGCACACGCACACGCACGCACTTTGCTGTTCTCTCCTTAAGACTTAAAATGAGCCCAAGGAATGAGCTCCTTAGGCTGTTTACTGTCCCGGGAGCCTGGGGCGCAGTAATTTAGCTACCTGGAAGGAACAGTGCGGTGCGCCCTGCACCTGGTGCAAGCGGTTTTCTCAAACATATTTTTCATTAGGGGTTGCATCAGCTTCTGTGGGCCAACAAAACACTTCATTACTTCAGCACTTCGGAGCCCCAACCCTGTTCCGCTTTATTGAAATGATTTGCGGCCACCTAAGAGTGAGGTACAGACTCATGCAAGGGCTGTGGCTTGTGCTTGCGTCAGGAGTCCTGTCCTCCTTCAGGCTGCTGCAGCTCTTCAGGACAACACCCGGGGCCTTGTCCCTGGCACTGCCTGGGGCGCCCTGTGCCGCAGAGAGGAGGAGAGGACTTGAAGGGCGGCTGCTGCGTAGACTGGAGACCTGGTGCTGGAGGACAGGCCGGGGCCCTGGGGAGCAGCGTAGCAAAGCTCCCTGAGCATCTGCAGAGTGGGGAGTCTAAGGCAGGGAGACGCGCAGGGTTTGTGCACAGGGAGGAGGCTGTGGGGTGCAGGTCGGAGCCTGCGAGAAGCCGCTCCGCTCAGAGAAACACGGGGCGGGGAGGGGGCGCAGAGAGAGCCCTGGAGGTGGTGCTGGCCAGCAGAGGACCAAGCAAGCTGGCCAGGTAGCTCTGCATGGCCACTGCAGAGAGGGTGGTAAACAGGCCTCCGATGGACGTTTCCCTTAAATGTTTCATATGTTACACACATTGATATATTTCGTGACAACATTATGTACGTATTTGCCTAGACATACATGGACACGCATGCACAAACCCTGAAAAAGTATGACTCACTGAATTTTCGAAAGTGAACACACAGAGTGAAAAGTGCAGAAGAACCATCCATGACTCAGGTCAAGAAGTCAAACATTCTGGCTAGGTGAAGGCGGTGCATGTCTGCAATCTTAGCACTCCGGGAGGCTGAGGCAGGAGGACGGCAAATTTTGAGTCCAACCTGGGCAACTTAGCGAGACTCTGCATCAAAAATATATTTTTTTAAAGGGCTGGGGATGTATCTCAGTGTGAAGGTGAGCTGAATGCATTCTCAGGATCTTAGCTCATCACACGCTCCCCCTGCCCCAGACACATGCAGAATAGTCATTCTCTTAACTTTCTCTTCACTCAGTTCCTTTAGGTTGTTTTTCAAACATCGGTTGGTGTTCGGTCGCTGGCTTCTTTTGTTCAGCAGAGAGTTAATGAGACTCCCCCGAGTTCCTGCGTGTAGCGTAGCAGCAGGCTTGCTCCCTTCCGAGTGGCTGCTCACTGTGGAAAATGGGTTTATCAGCCAGCTATCGTTGATGAACTTTTTAGGTCGTTTCCTAAAGCGAAGGCGGTGTTGCTGTTGACATTCTCCGTAATAGTTCTCACCCGGAAACTGGGTGGCAGGTGGGAGTCTGCGAGATTGTCTTGAGAGAAGAGCGGAGAGTTTCTGAACTGTGTGTGTTCTGGGGAGCTCTTGAGTCAAGGCAAAAGCAGGAACATGTCTCGGGCTTTGTGTGAGCTCCGAGCCTCCACCCACACCCACACTGCAGACCCCTGTACAGTTTCTGAAAAAAGGAGGAGTGGGATATGCCAATTAATGTGTAAACTGGCAAGAAATCAGAATGCTGGCCAACATTCCTCCAGTGCTCCTGGTCCACCTCTGGGATGGGGCGGGGACCTGCGGCCAGCTTCGCGGCTGTCAGGAGCTGAGCGCTGGGGTGTGTGTGCTGGGAGGGAAGGAACAGAGGAGCCCTGACAGGTGGAGACGTAGGCAGGAATCGTCACACCCAGGTACACACGGGAACCCATACAAAGGAATGTTTAAATTTTAAGACAAGGTGCAGCCTCATGTGCATGGAGAGGAAATCACTTCTCTCACGGTGGCGGAAGAACACAGCTATGGACGCCATGTTTTTTATATGCATGAAACTGACTTCAGTATTGCAAGGTCTGTTTTGCTCATCGTGTATGTATTTGAACTCTTTCCCTTACATTTTCTTCTTTTTTCACACCTCAGGATCAAACACATATGAAGAGGCAGCTGCATATATTCAGTGTCAGTTTGAGGACCTGAATAAGAGAAAAGACACAAAGGAAATATACACCCACTTCACATGTGCCACCGATACTAAGAATGTGCAGTTCGTGTTCGATGCCGTGACCGACGTCATCATAAAAAATAACCTAAAAGACTGTGGTCTCTTCTAAGTCTTGCAGTCATGGTACAGTGCATTTTCAAACCAAATGAGTAGTTATCTATGGATCTCTCTAGACTAGAGTCTTGCAGTGACACGAATGTAGCATGTGGCCCAAGCACCCGGAACCCCAGCAAAGCTGCTCTGTCCTGTTTCTTTAGCTAAAGCTCACAGAAGAGCTGTTCTTCAGTTCGAAGGGCGGTCCTCGCGTGAGGAGGGGAAGGCCCGTGCTGTGGCTGGGCTCCAGGGAACGGGTGGTGGCTGTGTCCATGTAAATATGCACCTGTGCGGATAGTGTATTTATGACTTCAGTTTTCCACATGACTTCTAGGTTTTAGGCGCGGCGGCTAACAACTCCGGTGTGATAGCTTTGGAAATTACATTTAATGTTAAGTATGCTGTACTGGATGAGTCTATTGCTGTGTTTGCCAGTTTTAAAAAGCTTTATTTAAGTTCATGTCCTATAAATTGTTAGGTACAGTGGTTAACATTAGGAAATGTCACAGCTCTTATCATGAATTGTATGTATACTTATATTGATAAAAATGTTATTTGTACAAACATTGAACAGACTATTTTAATACATGATTTGGTCTTTAAATTTAATGTTTTATTGAAATGTTCTTAAAGAGGATGAGTGTATCTTCCTTGGGATCAATGTAAAGTTATATGCATTTTAATTTTTCTTTAAAGAGTGCGTGCTGCTCTGGATTCTACATTAGATTTGGTTTGAAAAACTAAAATTTCAGATTTTTGAGAATATTCTGTCTTACAGGCATTTAATTTGTATTTGGTTTGTTTTCACTTTGAATTTTAGTATCCAGAAGGTATTTGTGCATTGCCTTAAAGGTGATGCCAGATTACTTTTATACACTTTAAAAAACTACATTTTTATTTGTAACTTAGTTTGGGTAGATGTTGGAAGCATTTTTGTGGGTACAATAATTTTTAGCAAAATGAATTTTGAGACATTCATTTGTGTATTTCCTTTGGGAAATCCCTTGTACTTAGCATACATGATAGTTTCTTGTTTGGAAGATACCAAGAAAGATCTTTGAATACTCTCTTGCCGATGTTATGCAAGCTTTAAATTCATATATGTAACTAGTTTCAAACTTAATTATTACATTATGTTAAAATTTTTCCCTTAGATATTCAACTTTGCTTGAATTTATATTCTTTCTTTTAAATTATTCTATTATTTTTGAGAATTAAATGGACAATTATACTTAGAAAATGAGTAATAGTACTTACCAGAGTCAGTGATTGTTCGTATGTGCAAATAAGTGTTACATGTCAGCTACTTACTCAACTTTGACAGAATCATGTGACTTTTGATTATTTACCTTGTCTCTGTGATCTTCTTTTAACAAAATGATCAGTGTTCCTCACTCTATTTCCCTTTTTCTACTCGTCCTGAAAAACATTCTTTTAGTAAGCATCACTGGTAAGTAGTTTACAAGTTTAGTCACCCCTTTGTTAAAGTATATTTGTTGGTGTATGTGTATTTGTGTGTGTGGGTAATCATACACTACATTCACAGCTGTTTGCTTGGGGGCTTTTTTCTTTTTTGTAATGTGAAGAAATTCAAAATTACCAAATTCTTTAAATGTGTTAGTTTAGATTCTTTATGTGCCTTTCATGAAAGATACTCGTTCATTCATTTTAGCGGAGGAAGACCTGTCAGATCCGCATTGTGAGCTCTGTATGAAATTTAGCTGTAATACGAATAAATTTGAATGAGAAATAAGGTTTAAAAAGCCACAAGGAAGCACATATTGGTGACCATCATTGACGAATTCCTGAACTTTATTCTGTGTAATTGTGTTACTAATGAATCCTAATAAATTTAAATTTTTAAAATTTTACAAACCTGTTGGCTTCGCCCAGTTTGCCCTGCCGTGTAAGTAACCATCCATCATACCTTCATTTCTTCTTTCACAAGGCTCTCTTCGCCATTTTACCTAGTTCAGGAGCTTCAGTTTTCTCAGCCCCAAGTTTTCTCGTGCAAACATGAGGTGCCCGTTTTGAACCACTGACTTCACCTCCCCTTCGGAGGGTTTGTCACCTGCGCCAGCTCAGTATGCTCCAGGCCACATCTTGCACCCCTCTCCCCAGGAAGCAGCTGCGCCCTCGCTCTGCCATGTCAGCCAGCGCCATGGTCTGGGTGTTGAAAGGCACCTGCAGCCCACTGCCAAAGACGGGGCTCCCAGCATGGCCCTGTGGGAGACAGTGGGGCCTGGTGAGCAGTCGCAGGGTTGTGACCTCACAGGGGATTGTGGGAACCTTCCCTTCCCCTCCCTCTGCTTGCTGCCTGGCTGGCGAAGTCCGTTGCTTTGGATGGGCATCCACTGTACTCCTGTCCCTCCCCACAGACCCCGGACTGTGGGACTCCACTCATGGACGAGAATCTCCAAAACTGGCCGAAACCTACAATTTCTCTTTACAAGTTTAGTATCTCAGATGTTGCTACAGTGACAGGAAGCTGACTGATGTGACTACCAAGCCCCATCATCTTGAAGTCCATCGGTTGGGAACTTCTTAGCCACTCGGAAGGGTGCGCATCCCTCATCTCCACGCGCACTGACTCACTGTGCTGTTCTCCCAGTGCTTGCAGTGGCTCTTTCTCCCTCCCCACCCGCTGAAAGCTTCTAATCACCCCAGCTGCTTCCTTACTCCTCCGCTCCTGGACACCACATTCAGCCAGCACTCGTACATCTCTGGGCTCTCCGTAAAGCACTCTCCTTCAAGCTGTGTATGACGTGCCTGGGATCCCATGTGCTGGTGTCACTGTGCTGATCAGTAGTTTGTTCCTGGTGTCTCTCTTGGATTCTGCTGCCATCCATTCTTCCACCTGCTCTTTTGGGAGCTTCAGAGCCCTGTAGGTTTGCTGGTTCTTCTCACTTCTCTGGCTACAGGCTCAGGCCTGCCCAGTCCTTGTCCCCTGTCACTGAGCAGGTGACTAACCTGAGCCCCTCAGATGCCCACTCTCTGTTCTTTGAGTCCCTAAAGCTCCTGTGGGTTCCAGAACCCACTTCCTCTCAGAATCCCTCTGCAAAGTGACTGGAACCCGTGACCCCGTTCAGTCCTGCTCAGTGCTCTTCCTGATGCGGGCAGTAACGGGAGGTCGATCTGCAGGCGCAGAGAGGTGAATTAGTTTGAGCTGCGCTGATGAAGGTTTCCAGCCCAGGCCTTCTGCCTCCGGTCTGCAGACAGCCTCACAGCACAACACGCCGCCTTGGGTGCTGACGGACCCTTCCCCTGGCCACCTGCCTGCCCTCCTTCCACCTCTTGGTCACTTTCCCCCTTGAGAAAGATCTGTCCCCCTGCTTCCTGGTGTCTGTATTTTATTGTGTTCTTTGTTTATAATTTGAGTTTCTTATATGAGAGAAAGCATGCATATTTAAGCTGTGTGTCTGATTTATTTCACAACATTATGATCTCAAGGTGCATCCATTTAGTTTTTTTAAAAGCTACCCGTTACGTCTCGCCTTGGAGCCATTTATGACTTCTTAATGCCCATGAGATCGGAAGCTACTTAAGGCAAGTTCTGTACATTTTGGCAAACTTTTTATGTCTGCAGAGTCAGCCCCAGTGGCCGTGTGGTGAGTCTGCGGAATGATGTCATCACCTCCCAGATGTCACCGTGGTCACTGTGTAGAGAGGAGGAAATGATGTAACAGCCCTAGGCTCTGCTGCCCGGCCTGGCTTCAAGTCTTGGCTACTCTCTTGGTAACTGCTTGACCTTGCTCGGCTTCCTTTTTATCATCTGAGAAAAGTAGGGATCAGATAGTCAGATTACTAACCTTAGTGGTTGTTGTTGGTCTTAAATAAGTCCACAGTGCATGTTCAGCACTTCTAAGGGAGTATGGCATGTGTTAAGCCCTCCATAAGTTTTGCTGTCATTGTTATAAAGAATATTTATTTGGCTGTACTGAGGATTGAACTGAGGGCCTTTGTACTGAGCCACATCCCAGCCTTCTTTTTAGTTACTGTTTTTAAAACAGGTTGACATTGAGCTTGCCACCCTCCTGCTTCAGCCTCCCAGGGTGCTGAGATTATAAATGCATCCCACACGCCCAGCTCTTGAGTACCTACAAAATCATAATCAGAGTTCATGCGTTGTTAATGATACAGGTTTTGGATGAAATGTCTTAAAACAAGTGTCATACTCATCTTTATAGTTAAAACTTCCCAGTTTTTGACCTTGATATCGATAAGGGAAAACAAGAATGACAGAAAAATGTACCAATTTTAGGACACTTCTGTCATTTTAATGTAGCCAAAACCAAAAGAGATGATTTCATGTTTCAACTTAGTTTGAGAAATATTCTTTTTTACTTGCTTTTCAAAACCCTGTTTTAGCAGTTGAAATGCATTTATAGCAAGAATTTTAGATTTCACAACTCCACTGGCCTGATCCCTGAGGAGTTTTTCCTTAACCAATAACTGGTTGCTTTTGTGTTTGTCGTGGTTTCTTTTATTTCCTTGGGTTTCACATGACCTGAAATGTTACGAAGCGCACTTCATCTGGTTGAGACTGTGCGGGCCCTCCCAGAGGGCGGCCCTCTCCCAACCCACTCTGTGTTTGGAGCTCTCAGGACAGGGCCTCCCTTCCTGACACCACTGTGGGGCTGCCTGTGCGCACCTGGGCATCTCCACCGGATAAGCAGAGTATAAGATTGTCAGTGTTCTGGCTTGTGGAACACAGAGGGTCCGACAGGAAATTCACCGGTATGATGTGTGCAGGACTTGCTTCGCCACATCCATGATAGTGTAACATGTTCCCCTCATTTCCAAAGTAAGTAATGACCTTTCCGGAAGTGACCAAGTCTCCCAGTGCCCTACGTCATAAAACAACATAGCCCTAACACATAAATCGTTTTTCATAATTAGGCATACAGTTTAGTCCTACACTGCCTATTAGAGTAAACTGCAAATTAATTTTAAGTATGAATCTTTTTCCTCAAAACGAAGGTTATCTAAATCTGATAAAGATTTTCTCTGGCTGAAGCAGAATGGAAAGCTTGGAGCCAGGTGGAAGAACCTTTCCTCTCCAAAAGCCCCACCTCTGATGCACATCTACAGCTTCTAGGTACACATTTGAAACAACATAGTTCCAATTGCAAGCAATTAATATTTTGTACCATGTTGGCTACCTAGTAAGTGGCAGAGCAGAGCCGGGAGTGAAGTCCAGAGTGGTGTCATTTGTTAGTCGCCTCTTCAAAATCCAGTGGCCTAAAGTTGTCTTTCCAGAGGTTACTACAGGAGAACAGAGGCTTATACACACACACACACACACACACACACACACTGTACACACGTACTTGTTCAACTTATAGTATTTTTGTGACATACTGGGCTAAATTAAATGTATTTTTAAAACAGCACCTGTTTCTTATTACAGTTCTAATGCACAGCTCCTGGAAGATACATGATTACTCATGTGTCTTGCATTGTATTTCTACTGGCAAACTGGAACACATTTTTTTTCCTTCTGCAGCTCTGTTTGCATGGAAATTTCCAAGTTTGAGAAATGAGGACACAACAGATAAAAAGCCAAAGTGTGGATCCGTGAGGTCCGGATCAAATCACCATCAGAGACTCCTTTGGAGAGTACGGATTATTCCACTTTGAGGGCGAGGGTTGGGTTTGATGTCACGGGCCTTCCCTGCACGGGATCCATCCATTCTCACTTTTAACCATGTCAGCTGAGATAAGAGGGTCAGCTGCGCATCTGAAAATCCAAACACCAGAAGTGAGCTTTGGAGTTAGAAATACCTTTTAGTGCCGATCTTGTAGTAGGAGTAGACCCAGAGGGTGTTGGAAAATTACTAAGCCCTGGTTTACAAACCAAGCTCTGCCTGTTCTTCAGCCAAATCAAGAGATCATTTGCGTTCTTAATGTTGTTATTGTGTTGCGTTTGTGGTGGTTGTTTTTTTTGTATGTTTCAATTCCCCCAGCCAAATTCCTCTGTCCCTCCACACCTCCCACAGACTGGGCTGAGCAGTGGGGCATGAAAAAAGCTCCCCGACTTTTCAGAAAGAGTAGCTTGCAGGAACTGTGGGGGAGGAGGGCCGGACTGAGAAGCTCTGCAGGACCTTGGAGAGGATGGGGTGAAGCACCCCGGCCTTAGGTGCATGTTTTGACTTTGGATAAAGACAGAGGACACAACTGGCTTGCTCTTTAAGGGTCCATGAAATCCAACCTGCTACTCTGTAAATGAAGAGGACTGGCGGCTTGGACTTCTCTCATGACTTCACTTCATCAGTAGGAGAAGACTTCCTACTCATATGGAAGCAGTTTTAGTAACCTTTATAGATAGTTCTAGTAACTTGTATAGATAGACATAAAACTGACAACTTTCCATTTGGCACAATGTGCATCCAATGAATTAAACTAAATTAGAAGATGTGAATAATTTTATTTATAATTAGTCAAAATTATCATATTTTAGAAAAAATATTTGGAACTTCTCAAATAATTAAGCCTGATTGAGTCATTCTAATAGTTATGAAGAAGAAAATGTAGAGGCCTATATCAGTGTGATTGTCATTTGATTGAACAATTATGTCTAATAAAGGCATTAAAATTTAAATTTATAGCCATCTTTTTTTAATAGGATCTAATGTATGAAATATTAATTTTTCTTTATCAAATCATCAGGCTTATACACATCCTGTCATTATCTAGGTAATTCCACTATTCCTGGTTCTCACATCACTGAATTAGTAGGGTGTACTTATGTTTATTTCAGTGCATCGTGGCTCACGTGGGAGGCAGCACTTTCTTTCCATGGACAAGCAGCATCAACCCTACTTCACTGCTTTTTGAGCCCAGCTTCATCCTATCAGGCTATAGTTTCTGGTGCCGTGAGTGTATGGAGAATCAAAATCAACATTGTCCACTTCACTAAGCAGCAAAAGACTTTACACAGTTGGCCAGCCGGGCCAGCCTGACCTGTTTTCAGCATTTGTCTCAAATTTAGCAAAAGTGTTCATGTAAGAAATGGTGCAAATGCTGTCTGTTCTCATGAAAGGCTATCTCTTTCCCATGGGCCTTTGGCAGCAATGCCCCTTTTGTTTAGTTACTGTGAAGGACAGTTGGAAAGCATTTAAGCTGTTAAGGAAAATACAGCTGCCCACTCCACCTGTAGACTCTGTGGTTGAGCTCTGATCAAAAAGCAACTTCAAAAACACATGTGCTCCTCCCAATAACTTACTTTCCTACAACAATTCGATAATTTTAATTTAGCTCTGAAAAGACCAAGGGCAATTTGTTCTTTGTTGGTGTTTTTTTTTGGTATCGGGATCGAACTCGGGACCTTTCGTGGAACCACTGAGCTAAATCCCCAGCCCAACCAGGGGCAATTTGTGTGGATGCTTTTTTTATTCTTTTTTAGTTTGCCACAAGTTTGGATAAAAAACAAATTGTTACATAGGCGTTATTGTGTGTCCGGAACTCTTTTGTCTAGCAGTGTTTGGCAGTAGGTGTGTAAGTATGCGAGCCTAGATGTCTTTGGGTTTCATGTGCCACTCAGCACCCTCTCCATGAAAATCCTACTTGGGGAAGCAAAGCAGGAACACTGGTGAAAAGGCAGTTGGACTGAAGCTGAACCCTGGGCTGCCACCTCCTACTGCATGACCTCGAGAAAGTTTCTTAACCTCTCCATGTCTCCAAAGTGTCTCCATCAATGGAGATAACATCACATCCTCCTCCTGCGGTTGTTAAAGTGAAACATCACAGCGTGCTGGAAATCTTCACTCTTTTCAGTTTCAGGATGGCAATGATGATGAAGATGAACATATTATGAATAACAGAGGAAAGAGAAGGGAAAAATGGTATAATCAGCCGTAATTCAAGGCAGAAAGAGTCAGCACTGGTGGAAATCTAAGCGGGGATCATGTGTGCCATCAGAGTCCTGGGACTAGCGTAATTATTTCCACCCCATCGTGCTCGGAATGGGCCCGAATCACTGTGAACAGGAGCAGCCTGGACCCAGAGCCCAGCTGGGCGTGAGTCTGGTGGAGTGAGGGACTTTGACCAGAGGATGGGGTAGAGAGGGGAAACTTCTCTTCTTGTCTCGCCCAGCTCCTCCTGAAACCGGGAGATGTGTGCCAAGGAGAAAACAGAATTCCTAAGCTGTTCTCAGTTTCCTACTGCTTTTGTGATGAACTGCCACAGAATCAGTAGCTTAAAGGGAGACAAATTTATCCTTCTAAATTCTGGAGTTCAGAAGTCTAAATTAGGTACCTGGACTTCGCATCATCTGGAGGCTGCAGGAGAGGATTTGGGTTTTTTTCTGCTTTTCTGCTTCTAGAGTTTGTCCGGGTCCCTGGGTCCACAACCCTTGTTCTGTCTACAGAACCCACACCCAGCCTCCGGGCTCTGAGGCTGCTTCTGTCCTCAGCATGGATGTATCCACCACGTTCCACTCCTCCTTCCCTTGCAAGAGCATCTGTGGGATTTCCTGGGGGCCATGAGGATAATCCAGGATAATCGCGGATTTCAAGAGCCTTAACGCCCAACATATCTCCAAAGTTCCATTTACCCTGTAAAGTAACAGCCACCAGTTCTCAGGAGAAGAGCAGGGACATCACTGGGGAATCATTTTTCTACCCTGCCACAGAGATGCATTACTGTGATTGCTCTGCTCTCAAGGGCAATGTTTAGAGTCAAAAGCCATCCTGTTCAAGATGAAAGATTAAATACTTGAAGGGTCTTAGGATGACAGCTAAGTCTGCTAACTGCAACTTCCAAAACAGAATCAGAAATTCACTGGGAAAAGAGGGCTCAGAAACATCAGTGAGGCTTTTTAGATCTGTGTTTAAAGTAGAATTCCCATGTGGGAAATCCTTGTTACCCAATACAGCCGGTCATGGCAGGATCTTAAGCTAAACTCTCTTAAAATAAGGAGAAAAATCTATTATGCCTAATGATAAATAAAGTTAGGACTACACATTTGCTTGACATGTAAAACTTAAAATTCTAAAAATAACTGGGCTATCTTATGTTTAATGAGATTTAAATTATAATTTCAAATGTGCTGTAATTTATTGAATAAAGAGTAGAGCAACTTGACTCTTTTGGTATCATTTTTTTTTTTTTTTTTTAAAGGACAGAGCTGGTTTCACTGCCTGCTGCGCAAGCACAAGGACCCGAGTTCAATCCCTGGTACAAAATAAAATAAAATAAAATTAAAATTAAAAAGGACAGAGCATGGTTGTCTTTATTTTTGTCATTCAGGGAATGATCATAAAGAGTTATTTCTGAAAATATATTGAGTGCCTACCAGGTTTCTGAATAATACTACACATAACTATTATTAATAATTCATCTCCAAATAATCACTTTCTTACAGTTTTCTTCATGTTTTACACGATTGTAATTCTATGACATCCTCATTTCTTTATGAGACTGGATCAACATTAATTTCATTAGTTACATTAAATCCCACATTCAAAGTAACGTTTCTAATTTTACTTCATAGTTTCATCATATTTGTATAAAGCATCAGATCATACAAGGCAAAAGCAATAAGAGCTTGGACAGGCAAAGACAATTGCTGGCACGGGTAGAGCTATGGACTTCCATTAATAACTCAGTGTACGACTTTTCTTTGCAGTCATTCATGCTATGGGGAACTCACATGGTAAATACTCAAATAACCTGCTATCGCTTGTGTCTAGATGTTTCCCCAAAGCCTCAGGCCGTCATAGGTGGGGCTTTTTCAGAGGTGGCTGGATCTAGGGTGTGTGCTGCTGGGATTAAGGGTGTGAGTGCTGCCTGCCCTAAGAGTGGTAGCCTGGATAAGATATAAAGGACAGAAAGATGCTTTTGCTGGCTCTTATGGCTGCTGCTTGTCTTCTGCTCCATGATGCCCCTCTGCCGTGCCACCCTGCCTTGGAGCCAGCTGTTTATGGACTGAAGCCTCTACACACTGTGAGCCAAATAAACCTTTCTTCCTTTAACTTTGGGTACTGGGTAGTTTGTCTCAGCAACAAGAAAAGTAACTAAGACTTTAGCAATCCAGACTTTTACTTGAATGGAATTATAACAATTTCAAAAAAAAAAAAGAGTAGGAAGAAAAATCACATTAAATCCATCATAAATTGTGTTCTTTGTTTTATTTACTGTTATAATAAGTGCACTAAATAGGTGCTTCATTTCTAATGATGCTTTTGTCTTGCACACGGCTAAGCATGGTACAGGCAGTAGCTGTGTCTACACTGCTCACCATGTCCCACGCCCTGGGACAGTGTCTCTTACAGTGTAGCTGCTCCACTGGGAGGGAGAAAGCAAGATGTGAAAGATGATTGTGTGGAGAGAGACTTGCCTTACAACTGTAACATTTACCATAGAGAATCTGTAATAGAGACATCAACAATGAATTCATTGTAGAAGTAGAATTCAGTAAAAATGTCTCACTCCAATATATTAGTGTAGCAGAAGCAGAATTATCCTTGATCCTTGCATTGCAAGAACATTCTTTGGACAAATTCAGTCTCAGCATTTTCTATATTCTTCCACTGAACAGTCTTATTCAAGACTTTTGTTTGGAGAACAGTAAATTTCTTTTAGCAAACAAAATTGGAAATAAGCAGTTTACTATAGCCTCTTAGAAGTCTGAAGACTCTGTTAGGACCTGCTGCCACAGAAAATGATTTGTTATATCTGCTCAATGAGGATGTTCCCCCTCTACACACACACCAGATACCTACAGATGGAAAGGTGGCACCAAGAAGGCTGAACAACTGGAGTTACATGTATATAATTAGGGAGCCCAGTTAAGTGAGTCTTTGTAAGAATATCTTGTGTGTGAGCGGGTGTGCACCGCACATGCCCTGCACATAGTAAGGATTCCTCTATGTGTCTGTCATTCTTATGTATCTACCGGACCACAGCTCCCTGTCCCCGCAGCGGTAACCAGGACCCTGAAGTTTCTGTTCATCATTCCCTTGTGTTTTACTAATGTGCACATCCTTTATATATTTTATCGTACTTCTGAACTTTAGATATATGCCCTCAAACGTTAGGCATTTTCTTGTGACTTGATGTTTTAGTTGTTTGACATTTTTGGGTGAGATTTGCACATGTTGCCAGGTGTTGTTCTTCATTTATTTATAACTTTTAGTCCAGGGTTGTATCATAATTTATTTAGTCATTTTTCTATTTCCAGACTCTTCAGTCATTTCCCTTTCTTTAGCCAAAACTGCCATGAACATGTTCATTTTGAGCAGAGTTAGAGTGCAGAATTATGGCACACAAAAATATTCTCACCTTGACTTTGCTAGATATGAAATTGTTTTTCAAGGTGAAAATGGTGATTTATACTCCAACCTGCATTTTATGAAACTTGCAGTTCATTCACAACTTCAAGAACATGTGGTTTTGTTCAACTTGTAGCCAACTTTTCAGGAGGATAGCAAAGTTTGCACTGTGCTCAGACGGTGGGAGGCTGAGCTTGTGGAATTTTGAGTTCACCCTCTAGGAAAATGTTAGTCTTGCTTCCTCATGAGTCAGCTTGAGCTCAAACCCAGCCAGTCCCGTATCATGTCCTGTTTTAGGAAGCAATTTTCGAAAATAAATATTTACCTACGATCGGTGTCCTTGCAGGTGAAAAGTGGCTGCCACGCCATCATGGGTGGCATGGTGTGGACAGGGACACAGTGCGGGGGTGACCACAACAACTGTGATGCAGACCGACTGCCTTCACAGTTTCTCTCTTCCTGCTGGTGTTTGGGAGCAGAGAAATCTCCTCCATATTGAGTTACTGAAGTGTAGGGGCATCCAGAAAGGGAAGTAGGGGCCCTCATGCTGTAGAAGGAAACCTGAAAACACAAACACCTGAAGGGAAAATAAGAGGTGAGCTTGTGGGCCAGGGGACACTAAGTTCATTCTATGAGGTGGTGGAAGAAGCCTTCTCCTGCTTCCAATTTCATGCTGAATCTGAGTTAAACTTCTCTGGCAAGCCACACCCTACTTCATCCCTCTATAGCTAAGCAGTCTTACTTCTCACAAAAGTCTCCGAAATTTCACCCTGTCCCACCAGCCTGGTCTGCTCAAAGCCTTGGGAGTGAGCTGCTATTTACTGTCAGCATTTGCCTTTCTCGGGACCAGCCCCTCCCTTCTCTCCATAGTCCCTCAGCAGCTGTCTCTTACCTTGCAGCAGCTACAGGCCTCCACCAACCCAGCTTAACAGCTGCACCAGTAGTTAGTTGGCAGGACTTCCCTTTTCCAGAAATGGTTAACATTTGCTATAGTGAATTACGATGTACTTCTCATTGGTCTTACTTCACCACTGCATGGGAACAACATGTCAAGGAGAGCTCCTCCATGTAGAATTTGTTCCCAACCCCCTCCTTCCCAGGTGACTGTGGTACATGTACTTTTGCCCATGACTTATTGCTGTACTTCCCAGTAGGGCAGCTGGACATAAAGGTCCCTGCTGGCTGTGCTGGAAGCCCTGTGAGTCCTGCACATCTGGGCTCACCCACCTCTCCCACCTCTTCCTGGGTGCCTCTGCTGTCTCATGTGCTCCCCGAGATCCCAGTGAGACATCCTTCCGGGCCTCCTCCTTGCAAAAAGAAAGACGGTCTATTCGAGGTGTGAGTCACAGTCTTCTCTGTGAAAGAAACCAAATGCAAATTCAAGCTGGCTTAAATAAGTAAGCAAATAAGGGACTAAAAATATCGACTCATATCACTGACAGGCCTAAACCTGGAGTGGACTTTGAACATATCCTGTTTCCAGGGTTTCTAACAAAGTCATCATACTGTTTCTCTGCCTTTCTGGAACTGGCTTCTTTTTTTGGCTTAACTTTATTTGTACAGAAGCTTTTTCCCTTCATGAACAAAAGACGACTTCTCCAGTCTCAGTTCCTAGCTTATGAACCAAGACAAAAAGAGCCTGTCTCTCTTTCGGTGCCTGTCTAATCTCAAGAAGGACTCAGACAGGTCCTGAGTGGGTCACAGGTCCACTTCTGGGATGATGGTGCTCCTGAGTATGGACATAGGGCATTGTGATCAGCCGCGTCACCTCTAGCCTGGCCCTGGGGCTGAGATAGCGGGACTACATGCTTGACAGGGCCCACAGCACGCCAGGGGAAAAGCTCTCCCATGCGAATGGTGGTACTAAAACACACACACACACAGACGATACCCACTAGGGACTTCAGGGGTTCTACACTAAACACTTCCATGGCCCCACATATGAGAACTTTAGGGTGCCAGATCTTTACTCTGAGGTGAGGCTGATTAGCCTGTGCTTGCTGTACACACTGATGGTGTTCATCGTGTGGAGCTGGAACGTGCACAGAGCACATCTCAGTTCTGTCTTAGCCCCCTGCCCGTCCCCTCCATCGGTCCTCCCTCCACCTCTCAGTCCCCTTCCTATTTACGAAAGAGCTATGAAACACTGTCACGCTCTTAAATTTTCCCTTTTTGCCAGAATGGGCTATTTAGTAAGCTCTAGAATTAAGTACCCCAACGTGTCCAGAAAGTCACTTTTCTGAGATAACTCAAACCTTGGCAGTAAGTGCGCTCTCCCCTTCTGAGGTGAATTTGCTTTGGATCAACAGGAATTTGAGAAGCGCCAGCTCCCTGAGTTCTAGTCTGGTCATGCAGGCTCCTCTCTCCACGCTCACATCTCAGTGACCTGCTGTGGACACCACTCAACTGGAAGTCCTGAAATACAAATGCACTCGAGGGTGGAAGTGCTCATCCTGTCCTCCCAGGACACCAACGAAGTCTCATGTGATTTTCCTTCCCAGCCCATCTAGACTCCCGTTGCAGTGTTGATTTTTCCATGTTTACTTCAGCTGAATCGCTACATTTTCCCCTGAAATTGCTATATTTATCCATTTTTAATCTTTACAAATCGAAACACCTATGTGCTACAGTCTATTGTGTGTTCAGCAAGTAAGTGCACTTAGAGGAAGAGCCGTCTGTGTTTAATGCACACTTCAGGGTGCCTGGAAGATATGCCACTTGGTCACTTGTACGTAGGTTTCCTTGGTTAAGCTGGTGACAGACATTTAGGGTTTCTGAGCTGTCAGTTCCTGAGAGGCAGGGGAGGAATGCCTGAGGCACTCCCTGCCCAACACTCACCTGTCCGTATTCAGTTTTCCTGCTGATTGCTGATTCACCTCATCTCAGTTCATGTTTCATAAACTGTTTCACTGACAATGCTGGCAGATATTGCCCTCCACATTTCAAAGAAATACTTACTGTTTTCTGGTAGCTTACAATGCTCATTAGCATAATATAGATGCCAGTTATGTCTGCATTAAAGAAATCTCCCTGACTTCCCCCAGCACCTTGAAAGCTTCCTGGACCAGGCAAAGACCTTGTATGAATCCTCAATTCCCCTCTTGCAGATCCAGTCCTGGAGGAGCTCGGAGTGCAGAACGCCGACAGATGGAGAGGTGTGCACTTTTGTAATAAGACAAGACCATCTCTGAAGTGTTTTGCTGGAAGACAGATACTTCCTAAACGATAGGAAGCAAAGGATTACAGCGTCGTTTTGGTTGAGGAAAAAGTCCTCCTCCCTAGCAGGCCTCTCACCAAGGCTGTAGTCTAGCTTAGCACCCTGAACACGCACATTTCACTCCTGACTCGAGTACCTCACTGATTTCTGTCTTTGGTTCATTTCTTTTTCTTTTTCTTTTTTTTTTTTTTTTGGTACCAGGGATCGAACTCAGGTCCTTGCGCTTGTGCAGCAGGCATCGAAACCACTGAGCTAAATCCCTGGCCCAAGGTTCATTTCTTTTAAACAAAATTTCCATTTTAATATAATGCAAATAGATATTAAGGAAAATATAATAAAGAAAATGTAAAAGCCGTTCTATGAAAAATAATATTTCATAACAGAAATGATTAGAGAATACCAATGGTAAATACACTGTGTATCATGATCCAAAGAGAATATATTTTCATTTGCTGATCTCTCAGCTCATTTCCTAGTAATACTACACGTTTTTGCATAAAACATTTTACGTATCCTGAAGTATCTCACGTTCTGTATCATTCTGAATAATTTCTTCCTATTTCACAATATTTATTATTCTTTTTGTTCTTTATTTTCACTTTCAGTTACATCAGAGAGATAACGCAATATTTACATGTGTATTTGATTTATTTTACCTAAGACTATGTTCTCAAGGTACATCCATTTACCTAGAAATATCTTGAGTTTATCCTTCTTTATGGCTGAATAGTACTCCATTATATAAAAACACATCTTTTTTTATCCAGTCATCAGTTGATTGGCACTTGGGCTGTTTCCAAGTTTTAGCTATCACAAATTGTGCCGCTGTGAACATGGGTGAGCACATATCACTGTGGTATGATGCTTTTCATTCTTTTGGGAAGATACCCAGAATGGGAATAGCTGGGTCAAATAGGACCTCTAATCCTAGTTTTTGATGAATCTCCACACTGATCTCCACAGTGGTTGCATCAGTCTACACTCCCACCAGCAGTGGAGCAGGGTTCCTCTTTCCCCACAGCCCCACCAGCATTTGTTATTGGTTGATTTCTTGATAGCAGCCATTCTTTCTGGGGTGAGGTGGAATCTCAGTGTTGTTTTCATTTGCATCTCTGGAATGAACAGTGATGTTCATTTGCTGCTTCTACTTCTTCATCTGAGAAGTGTGTATTCATTTCAGATGCCCATTTTTGAATTGGGTCTTTAAATTTGGGTGGACTAATTTTTTTAAGTTCTTTATAGATTTTAGATAGTAGACCTTTGTCTAAGAAACCACTGGCTAAAATTTTTTCCCATTTTGTGGGTTGTCTTTTCACTCTGATAGTGATTTGTCTTGCTGTGCAGAAGCTTTTTAATAAGATGAGATCCCAGTTGTTGATTTTTTGTAGTATTTCCTGTGCAGCCTGGGTTTTGTTCATGAAGTCTTTGCCTGCTCCTTTGTCCTCAATCATTCTACCTGTTCTCTCTTCCAGCAGATTCAGTGTTTCTGTTTTAATATTTGGATCTTTGATCTTCTTTGATTTTAGTTTAGCTTGTGATGAGTAGTTTTAGTGTTTGGCATGCAGAAAGCCAGTTTTTCCAGCACCCTTTATTAAATAGGCTATCTTTCCTCCAATGAGGGTGTTTGGCTCCTTTGTCAAAGATGAGGTGGCTGAGTGTGTTTGGAGTTGTTTCTGCATCTTCTAGTCTGTTCCATTGATCTTCAGGTCTGTTTTTTGCCAGTACCATGCTGTTTTTATCACAGTAGCTCTGTGGTATAATTTCAAGCCACGAATTGTGATGTCCCCTACCTTGTCTTTGTTGACCAGAATTGTTTTTGCTATTCTAGGTCTCTTCTGATTCCAGATGAAGTTTAGGAATAATTTTTCTAGTTCTGTGAGGTATGCTAATGGTGTTTTGGTTGGGATTGCTTTAAATCTGTATAACAATTGTGAGAGTATGGCCATCCTCACTATGTTGGTTCTTCCTACCCATGAGCAAGGATATCTTTCCATTTTCTGATATCCTCTTTGATCTCCTTTTTCAGAGTACTGCAATTTTCAATGTAAAGAACTTTTATTTCCTTTGTGAGATTGATTCCAAAGTATTTCATTTTTTTCAATGCTACTGTGAAAGGTGTTGTTTCCCTAATTTATCTCTCAGCAAGTTTGTTATTTGTGTAAAGGGATGCTATTGATTTTTGAGTGTTGACTTTGTATCCAACTATGCTATTGAATTTGGTTATTAAATCTGGAAGTCTTTTGGTGGAGTTCTGGCATCTTCAATGTAAAGTATCACATCATCCACAAGTACTAATAATTAAACTTCTTCCATCCCTATGTTTATTTTTTTTAAAATTTCTTTCTCTTGTCTAATTGGTCTGGCTAATATTTCCAGAACTATATTGAATAGAAGTGGTGATAGTAGACAACCTTATCTTGTTCTTTATTTAAGGGGAAAACCTTTCAGCTTTTGACCATTTAGTATGATGTTGGCTGTTGGTTTCTCATAGGTGACTTTTATCAGATTAGGTAAAGATCATCTATTCCAATTTTCTGTAGAGTTTTTTTTTTTTTATCATGAGTGAATGTTGGACTTTATCAACTGCTTTTCTCTGCCTCCATTGGAATGATCATGTGCTTTTTGTCTTTGACTCTGTTGGTGTGGTGTACTACATTTATTGATTTGTATATGTTGAAACATCCCTGCATCCCTGGGATGAATCCTACTTGTATATCGTATAATCTTCTTGATGATTTACTGCATTCTGTTTGCCAGTACCTTATTGAGGACTTTTGCATATGTTCATTAGGGAGATTGTCCTGTAGTTCTCTTTTCTGGTTGAGTCCTTCTCTGGTTTTGGTGTCAGGGTAATACTTGCTTCAAGGAGTGATTTTGGGAGTATTGCTTCGCTTTCAGTTTCATGGAAGAGTTTGAAGAATAGTGGCATTAGATTTTCTCTAAATTTCTTGTAGAATTCAGTAGTGAAACCGTCAAGGCATGGGCTTTTCTTTGTTGGTAGGTATTTAATTACATTTTCAATTTCATTGACTGATATTGGGTTATTTAGAATTTTTATATCTTCATGATTCAGCTTTCATAATTCATATATATCTAGGAATCTGTCCATTTCTTCTGTGTTTTCCATCTTA